GTTTTATTTTGATAAAAATTATGTGAATGGAGAATTGAGACATGGGAAAAACTCTCAAAGGCAAGTAGAGCCATTGTTCCCACCAGAAACATGGAATGTGTTCAATGTTACGATTGCTGGAGAAAATCGAACAAACAATGTATGTGAAGGATGGAATAACCGATTTAAGCATATTGTAGGCAACAAAAAACCGAAGATATGGGAACTACTCGAAAAAATAAGGATGGAAATAGCGGTTGATATGGGAAAAATCGGCCAATAGAATATTGGGACATACACTCCCCAAAAAAATCGTATTTAAGCAACGAAACAAACTATTTTAAAAAATTTATGCAATGATTATTTAGAAGAGAGAAGGGACTTGCCCAATTTTCTCTCTTCAATTGGAGAACCTATACGTTCTAGAATTGTTTCTTTTGAATAATATAATTTATTATTCTATATATCATTTAATAAAATTATAATTATTTCTTTTCTGTAACTTTTGAAAAAAATTCATAAGCAAAATAATAATTGTTAGATTAGAAAAATATAATACTCACTGCTGATAATCACCTCTGGATGTATTTTGATTAAAGTGGTCAGCATTTTTCATTACTTTTGGCAGTATTTAATTAAAATTGGGCAGTAAAAAATATAATTTTGCAAGTTTTATAGTGATTCTGTATTCAGTCAGTTAAATTCTTAAAGTAGGTAAATACTTCAGTAAAATAATTTTTATCAAATAGAGGGTATCAGATTGAATTGCTAATTTCCTATTTAGCCACAAAATTTATAAAATTATATTATTTAATAGCTTATCCTTGTAAAAACAAAAAGGGGCGCTATTTAAGAGTCAGTAAACTGTGAAAAGCCTTTTATCATATTTCTAAAAAAATGATTAAAATTTGTGTAAAAATAATTTTTCAATACCTAAAAGTTGATGAAAGTGTGTAAAGGTGAACTAGATTTATTTAACTTTCGTTTTATTATTTAAAATCTCAAATTCTCAAAGAAATTTGACTTTAAAAAACATTTCTATTTAATTAAATACTGCAGAGCAGATCCGGGTCACGGGATTTTTTTTCCGGGGATTTATTTTCCTAGATTCAAATTTACTAGTAATATAATTTGAAAATTGTTCATTTTTGTTTTATATATCTATAAATACATATAAAACATAATCCCAAATAAAAATATCGTGGTTTGGCGGATAACCGACTCGTATATGTTTTACTCGTAATTATAGATATATAAAACAAAAAATGAACATTTTTCGAATCATATTACTAGTAAATTTTATCAATCGAATATTTAGTAAGTGGGGTTTTGAGCTCGGCAATCAGTCAAATCAAATTATTTTCAAAATATTTTTTAGGATAATGCTTAGCACGTATATATATACGCGTATAATACAAAAATGAAGATTTTTCCATGGATAACGCCAGCAATGCAGTATTTGGTCATTCGGTCGGTTTTCGGGTCAAATCACGATATTTTTAAAATATTTTTTGGAATTATGTTTTATACGTATTTATAGGTACATAAAACAAAAATCAACATTTTTCAATTTATCTTAATAAGTGGTCGGTTTTGAACTCGGCAATCGGTCAAATCAAATTATTTTCAAAATATTTTTTAGAATAATGCTTAGCACGTAAATATACACGTATAAAACAAATGAAGAGATTTTGATAAATAACGCCAGCAATATTTACTTTAAAAAATTTACATTGTTTTACTATTCTAAACCTACTCATTAAACATCAAAGAAACCTAAAAAAAATTTTTAATTTTTAGGTTTTTCATATGTATAATACCCAAATATAAAAAAAGTGCTATCCAATCATCATTCCGGTTTCCTAAAATGATACATATTCAAACATATAACGCCCTCTTACGGATATATATTTGTTAATTTTTAAAATTAAATAAAATAAAATGTATATTTGTTTTAATAAGCTAGAAAAATAAATTTCTTACTAATAATATTAAATAAAAATAAAATTATATACTATATCATTTAATCAGTATTCTTCATTTATAATAAAAAAATGATTTAAATATATTTTAAAAAAAGTTTAAAAAATTATCATTAAAAAAATATGCGTAATAAATTTTTGATTGATTTATAATTAATTATGATTGATTGCTTTTTAGCAATGCAGTTTAGCAATGCATTAGCAATTCAATGTATAGTGGGGAAATTTTTTCCAATGAATTATTTTCCAGGGGAATTATTTTCCAGGGGAATTTTATTCCGGGGATTTTTTTTCCGGAGAATTATTTTCTGGGGAATTATTTTCCGGGTATTTTTTTTCCGGGGAATTATTTTCTGGGGGATTTTTTTCCGGGGAATTAATTTCCGGGAATTTATTTTCCAGGGAATTTTTTTCCGGGGAATTATTTTCTGCTTACCGTTTAGCATAATCACTTATTTTTTTAATGGTAAATGTTATTGAAATACATTAACAATAATTTAGTAATATCGTGATTAAAATTAATAAATGAAATTTATTATGTATAGTTAAGAGAGAAAAAAAGAGTTAAGAGGAAATTGATTTTATATTGAGGACCTAAATTGTATGTTTCAATGTTTCAGGCAAAGGTAGACAGTGTTGACAGTCACGATTTAGCCATGATTATCACGATTTTACGTAATTTTTTACTTAATCATGTTTTCTCATATTTTATACTTTTCTCACGTTTTTTGTGTATTAGTCTCACACTTTTTCTCACATTTTTATTTAATAACAAATATATTTTGTAAAATAAAGAAAATTTTATTTGTTATATCCAGGGAACCAATCATATTCATTGATCAACATAAATATATAAACAGATATTGAGTTTACCCAAAACACAAATTTAATTTAAAGTTTATATCAAGTAATGAATTTAAATAACTATATATTTCTTTTATGGTTATAAATCTTAACATTAAAACTTGTAAAATTTTAAATGAAATAAATTAATTGTACATACACTCAAATTATAATTAGCCTAATTTAACTTAGATAGATTTTACTAAAGCTTATTAACAATCAAATTAATTAATATCTAATTAAATAGATTCAGGATCATTTTTATAAAATAATTAAATAAAATTAATTAATTAATAATAAAGTCAATATATATTCTGTAGATAAGATTATAAGCCTAAGCATATTTTTAAATGTTAATTTATGATTTGATTTATTCTGTATCTTATTAAAAACCTTCTTTTATTTAAAAATTTAATATAATATCTATTTCTTTACCTTGTTACAAAATGGTCTTGCAAATTCAAAATATATCAGGATACTCATCTTCTCAAGATGAAAAATTGAAAAGAGGAAAATATATCAGGTAAGTTAAAATAAAAGCTGGGAACTAAAATATGTATAGTTAAGGCAGCATTCAGCTGTAACATGTAGTATATGTGTATCATGCTCTTTAATAAGCTGTATGAAATCTAACAAACATAAACTGGCAAATGACCATTCTAGAACCAATATTTCTATATCATCATGTTTATCCAAATATTATAAGAATGAAACATTGTGTTATTGCTGAAACAACATTTATAAATCATTCCATAAAACAATCCCATAGCTATATACTGGATGATTGTTCAAGCAAGCTATTGCAGACTTTTTCCTAACTCTAAAATTGCATCAGAATAAAAAGCTTTAAAATAATATAAAATATTTTGGCACCAGAAACAAAATATTATAAAAAATCTAAAAAACAATCACCCGTTTTCAATACTAACGGATGCTTCGAATAAAAGTTAATATAAAAACATTTCCTATATCAGAGTTGTTAAAGGATCGAATCAATCGCCGATCCTGGATTCGATCCTAAATTTGTCAATATTCTCGGATTTAAGATCCTGACCTTAAGTTGTGGATCGTGATCGAGATCATTTTTTTAAATATTCGATCCCGAATTTTTTTACTTAAAAAGCAATAAATAAAATAAAAATTTTGAAAATTAAAATATTATTTTAAAAAAAAATATCTATCTACATCTTATTTAATCAACCACCATTCCACCAGATTTTATATTTCAACAATTTACCAATTGATTCACAATATTTCTAATGATTTTTTTAGCAGTGAAATTTTTAAACTGATTTTTTTTCCCCAATTCACGCATAAAAACAAATTAAAATATTATCAAGAATTTAATGCTTCAAAATAGCCGGAATGTATCCATTTTATATAGTTGAGCAAAAATAATTTGTTAAAATGATGGAAGAAATATTATCTTGGACGGTTCATCCGGTGCAAAAATTTTGGAAGTATAAGTGATAATACTGTATTGTATGGATGAATCATCATTAAAAAATAATACTATATCATACTGATCAGGCAATTTTTTTTATTTTATCATCTTTATTTACAGATTCTATAAATATTAAATCTCAATATTGATAGCAATCAATAAGACTTACACTAAAAAATATAAACTTAAAATCAGCCACCACCCACCCTTAAAGTAATTAAATTATACTGTAGTTCTCGGGTATAGGCTCTTTTTCTGTCCCATTCCTTTTTAATAAGCCTTTGGAGGTTTAAGGAACATTTTTCGAAATGTTGCGCCTACAAGTACGTGCGGCTTGCCCACAAACGTGTTAAGGGCTCCTCATATTTTTACTTTTACACCCAAATTATATTAGTTCCAATTAGATGGAAATGAGGAAAACCTAGCGTAGCTCTGTTGCTTCAATGCTAGAGGGCAAAAGTGCTATATATCATTATCACATAATTTACCAATTTTTTTGTACGAACAAGTTATATTTATTTATTAATTATATTATAATAAGATGAATAAATTCTAGGTTTTAATAATGTCCTCCATTATAGATTTAGTAGATGATACATCTACTTCTATTGATGTGACAGCAGATATAAGTGAGAATGAGAATCTTTTACCATTTCCTAATTTACATGTATTTTACTTTATGTGAAACAGATGGAAGTAACCAAAACCATACAATGATCTATGCAAAATGCTCTTTATGCAAAAAAATATATCTTCTTCATTGATTAGAAGTTCTAACCTAAAGAGGCATTTAGAAGTAAATAATTCTTTTAAAAATACAATTATTATTTGTGAAGATCATAACAATATGCATATAATAAGAAATATTTACAATAATTATCAAAATATTTATTAATTAAATAATCAGGAATTTAATAATATTATTAATAATAGCCCATTCTTAGCATTGATATGAAAGGGAGACTAATATTTTTAATGGGAGTTGAAATTAATTTTTAGTATTTAAAACCCTTCAACCCATATAAATAATATACTTAATTTAATATATTTAACAAAATTTGTGTTAAACCCTTTATTCATAAGTTTTTAAATGCTAAAAAAGCCTCATTTTATTCATATCATAGGAAAATATTTTCTCAAAATTTTTTGCCCATATCATCTTGGGCAGCTTGTAATGATAGACAATTTCAACTTGAATTTTTAAGATAACCTGACCCTTCTAACTACATGTAAAAAATATAAATGTATGTTGAACCATTAATTCATAAGTTCATAAATACCTAAAAAGCCTCAGTATTATTCATATGATAGGAAAATATTTTCTCACAGCTTTTAATAAAAATTTTACTGGGCCATCATCGGCATTAAAAATTATAAAATTTAATCAATATTATACAGATGATTGGTCAGGCCTGACTGTAAAATTTGAAAGGCTAACTTTTGCAGATACCTGATTTATATGAATGAACACCTATTTAATAATAAATTGATTATCATTTATTAATAGATCCTTCACTATATGATGACAGTAATATATTGGCATCAATAATTCACCCAAAGTTTAAGCTCAATTGGCCTTTTATTAATCTGCCACAAAATTTGTTGCTAAAAGAAAGGTTAATTGTCCATTTAGAAAATATAGAGGACATGCAGATCTTTCAAATGAAGGTATGGATGAAATCGATACCTTTTTTGGGAAAAATTGCTCACAAAATGATTTTTCCATAAATAATTTTTTTTTTATTCTAATAATGATTCTGTGAATATTTTTAATAATTATGTTAATTTAAAATAAACATTTATTAAATATAACACACCTTTACTGTTTAGTAAAGCTAAATATATGCTTAATGAAGAACGTGGTTGTTAAATGATGATAATTTAGAAAAAAATTTATTAAAGGGTAATTTTAATTATAAATATATATATATTCTAATTGTTATACTTATAGTTATATTATATTATTCGATTACAATAAATTTATACCATATTTAATTAATTTTTATATTAGTTAATTTTGCATCGATCAGAAATTTCAATATCCTTTTTTAAAAAAAAAGTCGATCCTGGATTTCGATCCTATTTTTTCCAAAAGATCGTGATTGGGATTCGATCTTTTTAAAAGGATCGATTAACAAGCCTGACTTATATACTTCAGCAAAAAAAATGGAATAAGTTTTAAATTACTTAAAATTATTTCATCTGATTGTAAAACCTCTAAAGACATATCTTACTAATACTATACTAATAGGTTATGTATTATGTCATATTCTTCACAATGAAAAGATAACAAGAATATCTAAGAACAAAATTTACAATCATCACCGATCACAAGCCGTTGATTTATATTTTTTCCAAAGGATTAAAAGAAAATTTATCCATGTCGATGAGGTTAGAGAAATGGAACATTGCAATGGGAGCTTACGATTTCGAAATAAGACATAGAGCGGGTAAACACAACACGGTACCAGATTGTTTATAGATTGCCATTAACATCTTCAGAAGAAGATATACTTATTATGAATGATGCAAAAGAAAATAATGATTTATGGGGCGTACCAATTAACTTAAAAATGATAGAAAAAGAAACTTCTAACGAGAATTAATGGAAGTAATTAGCGATATAGGAAAGGTGACACGATAAAAAATAAAAAATACAACAATATGATAACGGAATCATGTATTATGGGAAATTGCCTTTTTAAAGAATATAGGGTGATAATACCAAAAAATATGAGAAAGGAGATATTGCAAGAATTACATAAATCTATGTGCTGGGAAAACGAAATCATTGGTGAAAGATTATTTGTGGTGGCCTGGTCTAAACGCTGAAATAGATCAGGAGGTGAGAAACTGTGATACGTGTAATAAATTTGCGGACAATCCTCATAATGTACAAAACCCATGGGAAACAGCTATAAAAGTGTTCGAACGCGTGCATATCGCTTTGCACAATTTGAAGGTAGCAATTTCATGGTATGTGTTGACGCACTTAGTAAGTTTTCTATCATTAGAAGAATGAGAGATATAACCACTGAATCAGCAATCAAAGAATCGTTAAAAATAATCAGCTTATTTGGTATACCCAATAAAATAATCAGTGATAATGGTACTAATTTACAAGTAACTTGTTCAAGAAATTTTGCAATGATCATGGAATTAAACACATTCTCACATCACCAACAGTCTAATGGTCAGTGTGAGCGAATGATAAGATTAATGAAAATAAGCATGAATAGGAGCATGGAAAGTAATAATAAAATAGACTTAGATATAGATTTAGAAAAGTTTTCATTCAATTATCGCAACACACCAAACGCAACAACGAACAAGATACCAAGCGAAGTGATGTTCAACAGAACCATAAGAACTAGATGGGATTTAATCAAACCACAAGAAGATAAAGTGAATGAATTTAATCGTAATTTATCGTCGAAATATTATGAATGGTGACAAAGTTTGGTATAAACCTTCAAGGATAATATATGGGACCAAGGTAAAACGCAAAAATGGAGTATGAAAACAAATACCTAAAATACAATACCTTGTATAAAATTTTTTTTTGATATGTGTATCAAATAAAAGGTAATAAAAATATTTTTTTATTGTAATAATAATAATCACTCATAGAGGGCAGTTGAATAGATCTTTTGATTAGCTATCGATAGACATATCTTATTTCACAAGTCCAAAAAAAACAACATTGAAAATTAATGAATAACAATAAAATTTAAAACGAAACGAAACAAAACGAAACGCGCGGAAAACGCTCTTTAAAATAAGATTCTTCTATATCATGGTTCAAACGTGATAACGCCGTATAGTTCTTTATCCTTTTGTAATTATAAAAGGACCCCTTTAAATCCCGTGAAGATCCTGGATAGTTATGATCCCTTTAAAAATTACGACATATGTATGATGAAAAAAAACGTAAAGAATTTTTAAAAAAATGGACCTAAATTTATAAATTATTTTTAAAAATACAAAAGAATTATCAAAAATGAGAAGAAAAAAAATTGAGAAAAAATATAGTAAGAAAAATAAATTGAGAAAAGATACAAATAAAGTAAAGAAATCGCATAAAGTTAGAAATAAAATAAGAACGAATGACAAAAATAAATAAAAATTTAAAAAAATTACGATTTTCCTTTTTTGAATGGGAATTTTCCTTTTTTGATTGACACTTATCCTTTCCTTTTTGGAATTTTCCTTTTTCGATTGACACTTTTCCTTTTTGATCTAACTTTTTCTTTTCTTTTTGGGAATTTTCCTTTTTTGATCGACACTTTTCCTTTTTGTTTGGACCTTTTCCTTTTTTGATTGAACCTTTTCCTTTTTTGATTGAGCCTTTTCCTTTTTTGAACGGACCTTTTCCTTTTATGATTGAAACTTTTCTCTTTATGATTGGGACTTTTCCTTTTTTGAATGGTAAACCCTGTATATCTTAAAATAATAGTAGTTTGTAATAATATTAATATATTTTGAAAGTATTCTTTAATTCATATCTTAAAATATTGATGTGATATTCATATCAAAAAAAAAGCCTCATTATATTCAAATTATTGGAAAATATTTTCTTAAATTTTGTCCATATCATCTTAAGCATGAATTTTTAAGAAAACCTATGCTCCTTATAGCCACATATAAATAATATATTTTAAATATGTTTAACAAAATTTGTGTTTAACCCTTTATCATTTTTATGTTTATACAGATTTTATATCCAGCCTTTTTAACTTTTATTTAAAAAAAATTTCCATTTAAAATTTTTAGATTAGGATTTGATTCATAGGAACTTATTTCCATAACTTAAATTTCACAACCTTCTTCTTCACTTCCATCCTGCAAATTAAAATATATTACATAAAATTGGTAATGATATTCTGTCGAGTTACATTTTTATAGGGATCTAAACCGAAAAGAATATCGGTTCGGTTAAGGTTCGGAAAAATATAAAGGTTCAGGTTCAATTAAAAATAATGCTTCAGGTTCAGTTTTGATCCCTGCATTTATATATATGTAATCTTTACTAATTTTGTTTGGGTTAATTTTATCCATATATCTTAATATAAGTTGTAAATTTTTCAGTTAATTTTGGTCGTCGATATATTTAAAATATGGCGGAAAAGAATAAGGAAATTAATACAATATTCTTGAAGAAAATAAAATATATGCTGTGATATGTAAAATTTTAAATATGAATATTAAAAAGTATCTGTATCTCAAGAAAATTAAAATGAAAAAGATGCAAGATTTTTTTCAGAATAAAGGATCTTCGATACAGATACTAGTATCTTATTAAAAATGTCAAAAGGTACTACAAGATACAAAAGGATTTTGTATCTGGTATTTTAGATACAAATATTTGTGGTACTGCACAACTCTGATTACAATTGATATTATGATCAATGATTGAGCCTTTGTATAATAAGAATTTTCTTAGAAATGATATGATAAAATATTTCCTCTTAAAATGCGTAATATAAGGTTGAGTAAATAAAATGCATAATTTTAAATAATATTTACTTTTGCGTATTAAAATATATATCAATTTTTGCATAGGTTTTTTTTTATCGCTTAATTTATATCTAACTAGATAGAGATAACTTAATAACTACTACAGATAGAGACCTTCAAGCCTATATTAAACAAGGTATTTAAAAATATCTGAGTTTGAAAATTTTTAAAAAAATTATATCCATAATTTGATAAACATTGGATCATATTATAGAGTTTATATTTCAGTAAATATTAATAAAGTAATCCATGACCGGGAAAAAAAATTATCCGGGCCGGGCCCAAAATTTTACAAATATCCGGGCCTGGCCGAATATTCCAACGAATATTTAAAATTGCTTATTACGATAAAAATTTAAAAATAAAAAATATATTCAAAAAATTTTTCAGGTCTCTAATTGATACTTATATATTTTTAATTGGTATATTTTTTTTATCTCTGAAATATTTATTATCTTTGTCAGTCAATTCTAATAAAATATAAAATATAAATTAACATTCTTACTATTTTAAAACTTTAATGCTAATTTATATTTTGAAATTGCTTTTTTAAAACCCCCTCTAAAAAAATATTATTTTTTTTTCCTAATTAACTTGAGATTATTTTTAAAAACAAGATACGCTTAATTAATCGCTAAAAATTTAACATAAGTTACGGAAGTTAGCGATGCTACTAATTATTAGGTTTAAATAACTTAAGATACAACCCAACCCCGTTTGATTTTAAATCTGTAATTTTAGTGGGTATTCTACTTAGCCTAGCCAATTTTTTTGGCCAAGACAAAACTTTAGTGGATATTTTGGAGAAGACTAAACTTAAGTCTATTTTTTTTGTCTAAGGCTCCTTAGCTGATTTATTTTGGGTAAAGCTAAGTCTTAGCTGTGTTTTTTTTGTTTAAAGCTAAACCTGGCCGATTTCTTTCGGCTAAGGTCCTATGCCATTTTTTGGGTAAGGCTAAGCCTGATCCGATTAATTCTGATAGGCTAAAGTCCATCAGTTCCGTAAGATATGACTAGTCTATCCCTTCTTATTATTTATTTATTTTTATTAAATTATTTATTTACCTTAATTTTATTTGTAATTTTATTACTTATTGGTTTATGATATATTGTTATTATCAAAATTAACATATATGATTTAATATTTTTAACTTATATATGAAATTAAATATGAATATGTTATTAAAATTGATAATTAAATATATTTTTAATAAAAAGAGATATATCGTTATTGTTTGGTTATATTGTTTCTATTACATTTTATTTGCGATTATTTCGGCCCAAAATTAAGCAAAAAATTATTTTGACGTTCAAAAAATTTTTTTTGACCATATAGTAATTTGAGCTATTATGCCACGATATTTCCTTTTCTACTCCTATCACTAAATCATTAATATTTCCTATATTGTCATTCATCACACCTAGGTGTTTGAATTTAGTTAAACCTGTTAATCTTTGATTTATATGATTTTTGAAGGCACCATTACTTTGTTTACTATTTTTGTTTAATTGAATTTATTGTGACAATTTTTCCAATTTAATTTTTTTAATCTCATCAAAGTACATATCGTCAACAATTATCATAAATTCAAATATCCACGCTATCAAACAAAAATAACAATCAAAAATTTAATCCAAAAATAAATGAATATTTAATGAAAAAATTGTTCTCAATGTCATTTCTTTTCTATACGTACCATATATTGCTAATTTATGACAAAGATTTAAACTGGAGGGAGTTTGGGAGAAGAATTTTGCCCTCCCCCTTCTGTCTTTCCTCTCCAAAGCACACGTGCCTGCTTATACTTATAACTAAAATGTTATTTAATCTGAAATTCAAAGATTCTATTTTTAAAAAATTAATTAACTTTTTTTAATTATTTTCTGAAAGTACATTAGACTGCAAATTTAATGGTGATCACGAATATATGTAAATTTCGAGTTCTATAAAGTAACGTCAAAAATATATCGTCGTTACTAACGGCGTTACTTTTTGAAGGAAAGGGACGCCATTCGTAACCTTCTTCTAGGGGTAACGCGAGTAACGATAACACCCAAAACTTACTTGTTACTTCAAATATTTCATTAAAAAAATATGTAAAAAAACATATTTGATTATATTATTTATTTTTAAATTTCGTAAATATTTTAAGTAGAGTTTTTAATTCACATCAACCACCAAATTCTTTCATTTTTAAAATTTTTGTAGTTAAATTTTCCGTCAAGATTTTTAATCTAATTAATATTTTTGAAATCAATGTATGTAAATTTATATTCTTATTAATATTATAATTTATTTTATAAAGAATATTATGTGAATTGTACATTTTCTTCAGATGAAGAAGAATTGCCTTGAAACCAATATGAAACTTTTTTACACCAATAAAGAAAACTAAGGGTAACTCTTTATAAGTGTAAATTGTGCACCAACTCAAATATTTTTACCCAAAATGTGGAGCCATTTTTAAGGAAATAATGGGATATCTGATTAAACTAATTATAACATTATGGAACTCTTTCTATAATTCCGTGAAAATAATATAGCTAAATTACATCATTTGAACAATCATTTGAACAAAGAATAAATAAAAGTTAGTATTTTTTTAAAAAATAACGGATATAATTCAAAAAGAATTATTTTTAAAAAAAGTGAAAACCCAAAATTAGTTTTATATAAACATTATATAGCCAAAGGTGTACAATAAGTGGATCTACCTCCAATAAAATTTATAGCGGAAAAATCCGCCTAATATTGTTTTACCCCTATTGGGAAATTTTGGATGCGCCCATGTATTGTAGTGTTTTTGAAAGTCGCTTTTATATTTTTTAAAAAGTGGAGATTGGCCAAAATTAAAGAGGGGACTCATCATGATAGGAACATGAAAGTATAACCAAAAATGAGCACTTCTAAAAAATCCCTCACAATGACGAATTTTATATTCAGATACTTTATTTTAACTGTGACGAATACCGGTTTAGATTTAAGCTAAAAATAACGGTTCAGTTTGTAAAGAACAGTAATATCGGATCGGTTTGAACCTTTAAACCCCGGTTTAAATCTTTTCGTTTACAGGTTTATTTGAATATTTTAAAGAAAGGTTCATTTTTAAAAAAAATGTTTTTTTTATTACTTTTCCTTAAAAAATATTCTATGATGGAAGATTGGGTTTAAAGAACACTTCTAATGCTTGGGTAGATGGCAACATCAAATAGCAATATATATATAAAATAATCACTGATACTGAGAAATTTAATCATCATTAAAAGATTTAGAATACAGTTTCACAGCCCTTGTTAGAGTGACGTATATTTTAGCTGTTTGGTTTAGGTTCGGTAAACAATAAAGATTAATAGCGGTTTAACGATTGAATTTTAGCTTAAAAACTATTTTCAACATTATTATCAATAATACCATCTTTCTCAGTTTTCAAATATTTTAAATATTTTATATCATAGTATATCTAGAATTAATTTATATTGGACGATATAAATTTTATATAAAAATTCAAATTTTAATGTGACATTTTTACTACTTTTATTTTTTTTTCACGGTTTGTTGGGGAAATGAATTAATTTTTCTCGTAATATCCAGTTTATGAATTTTGGGTAAACCACATATTTTTCTAGAGGTAAGCAAGTTGCAAGTTTAGGTATGGTTTTTTTTTGAGTTAATATTTTCAGGAGTATACTATTTTTCAGAGTTGTTAAAAGATACTTTTTAAATGGATCTTGATACAGATACAACGTCTAAAATAATATCTAGATACAGATTATTTATTCAAAAATCTATCTAGATACAGATACCACAATCTAGATACAGGATCTAGATACTTGTATCTAGATCCTTTAACAACTCTGCTATTTTTATATAAAAAAAATGTGAATTATTCCGAAGGGAGTTTTAGTTAATTAAATAGATAATTCATTTTAATCATAATCAATCCTACCCATCATAAAAGTGTTGTAGACCTTATCAGCTGGTTATATCAAATTTATATTTATGTCTTTCAACTTTTCATTATTATCCATCAGTTTGCAATTTATGATGGAAGTTTAGCTTTTACCATATTTATCGCATTTATATTAAGCTTGAAAAACTATAAAGTGAAATTAATTTTAAAAAAAAAATATTTCAAAAATATATTAAAACGTATTCGATTCGAAAATATTTTATAGTTACCCTTTGTACCCTTTGTAATAATAATTATTTTCTTAGAAAAGATATAAAATATTTCCTTGTAAAATGCGTAATATAAGGTTAAAATAATAAAACATATAAATTTTAAATAATATTTACTTTTGCGTATTAAAATATAAATGAATTTCTGCAAATCTATGCTTTTTTATATTATCGTTTAATTTATATCTAACTAGATAGATGATAACTTAATAACTACTATTGGCAGAGGCCTTCAGGCCCATACTAAACAAGGTAAGAAAAAATATAAGATTTTAAATTTTTTTCTTAAATTTAAAAAAAAAATTATATCCATAAATTGAAACATTGGAAAATAATCATATTATAGAGCGGGACGGGTTGTATATATTTTTTTAAATTACCCGAGCCGGGCCTAAAATTTAAAAATACCCGGGCCGATCCGAATATTTTAAAACCGAATAATTAAAACTGCCCCTATTTTCTATAAAAATTAAAAATAAATAATATATTTAATTTTTTGGGCCAGGCCGGCCATGCAAATGGTACCTTGTCTCTGATTGATATATTATATATTTTTAATTGGTATATTTTTTTATCTCCTAAATATTTGGACTAATAAAATATAAAATATCAAATCAATTAACATTCTTGCTATTTAAAAACTTAAAAAGAAATAATATTATATGCTAATTTATATTTTAAAATTTAATTTTTTTAAAGCCCCCCTAAAAAAAATTTTATTTTCCTAATTAACCTAGGAATTTTTTGAAAACAAGATATATTTAAATTAATCGCTAAAAATTTAACATTATGTACACGTAAATCAGCATCGCGGTTATACTCTTAACGTGACCTTAAGTTGCGGAAGTTAGCGATGCTACTAAATATAAGGTATAGATAACTTAAGATACAACCAAATCCCCTTCGATTTTTTAAAAAATCTGTATAATGATTATAGTGGGTATTCTGCTTAGCCTAGCCATTTGGCTAAGACAAAACTTCAATTGATTTATTTTAGTAGCGTAGGCTAAGATTAAGCCTATTTTTTTTATCTAAAGCTGAGCCTTAGTCGATTTTTTTTGTCTAAAGCTAAGTCTTGGCTGTCTTTTTGGTTAAAGCTAAATCCTTGGCCGATATCTTTTGGCTAAGGCTAAGCCTGAACCGATTAATTCTGATCGGCTAAAGTTCTTAAGCGTTCCGTAAGATATGCCAAGCCAAGCCTTTCTTATTTTTTATTTATTTTTATTCAAATTATTTATATACATCTTTTTTTATTTATATTTTTATTACTTATTGTTAAAAATATTTTGTTTATTAAAATAAATATATGATATGATATAATCCTGGGAAATGGCCGAAGCGCTTAACCAAAATAATGTGACGAACCACGCCTACAGCAACCAAATAAACATACCCACAAAGTATACGCATGTACAAAACACCCCGCAAACTTTAGAGAATTACTATCAACCCCCACGTCGGAATTTACCACGGAATGATAACCCAACCTGTTACAATTGCGGGAGCGTGGGGCATTATAAATACAATTGCCCAATGAAACAAACTTTCAACAATTATAACTCCTCTCAGTATACTCCTCGAAATATACCTACGACCCAACCCAACGTACCAAACGAAACGACTGCGTACAAACAGACTCAACAAATTTTAAATAACCCGCATGATCTCTTGGACCTACCACCCAGGGGTAGCCCAATTTAAGAGGGGAGGAAAATGCCGTATTCCCACAAAAACACCTTTTTAAAATTTTGATTTTATATATATTGATTTTTTTTGTGTGGTCTTCCACCTGTTACAAATCCCCTTTTTTTTAATGTCCTCCACGTGTTTTAAAAATTTAGTCGTAATGAAATCCGCTCTGAACCAGCGGTGCGGCGAATGCCGTTTATTTTATTTTATTAAGGTAGGATCTACCTTCGTTATTAAATCCGCTCTAAACCAGCGGTGCGGCGAATGCCGTTTTGGTTTATTTTTGTAGGAATTAAGAATGAAATCGGCGCCGATGGCCGGGTAGCCGTATTTAAGAGGGGAGGAGTGTTATGTTCTATCCCCCCCCTTATTTCTTTTATTTTTGTTTCTACTTGTTTCTTTTGTTTTCCCATCTTCCTTTATTTTGTTATGAAATTAATATATTATACCTTATTTTTATATTGCATTTGAAACTGGTTCTTACCAGTTTCATGAATGAATATATCGCGATTAAATAACAACTTTTTTTTTCCCTTTTGTTTTAAAAATTATAAAGGTGGAAAACAAAACACCATTGATCATTAATTATTTTTCGTGCGTTTTAAATTGAATTTCTTTTTTTGTTGTAATTTCACTTATTCGAATAAACTTTGAAAATTAAGTTGTCCAAGTGATTCCATGACTAAATCAATAAAACCCGGCCCCCTGGATCCAGTCATTGACCATCCCGGACCCCCGATCACGGACTGTATTATTCCCATTCAACAATATTTTTAAATATTATTTATATATGAAATTAAATATTTATTTATTTAATATATTTTTAATAAAAAGAGTTATATTATTATTGTTTTGTTACATTTTATTAGTGATTTTTTTCATCTAAAATTTTAGGGATAAAAATTTATACAATATATCACTAGACAATCATTTGTTGAACAAAGATTAAGTAAAAGTTTGTAATATTTTTAAAATAAAGACTATAATTTAAAAAAAAAAAATTTTTTTAAAGTGAAAACCCAAAATTCGTTATATAGAAATATTATATAGTCAAGGGTTTACAATAAGTGGACTTAAAGACCTCCAATAAAATTGATAGCTGAAAACCGTCTAATACTGTTTTACCCCTATAGGAAAATAGTGTATTGTATCTTTTTTTAAAAAGTGGAGATTGGTGGATGTGTACTAAATTTAAATTACCAAAATTAAAGAGGGTACTCATCATGATAGAACATGAAAGTGAAGCAAGATAATATTAAAAGATGATGAACAAAATGTAAAATGAGCAATTTCAAAAATTCCGTCACTATGACGATCTATATAATCTGAGACGTTTTAACTGTGACGAATAACGGTTTAGATTTCAGATAAAAATAACTGTTCCGTTTGTAAAGAACAAGAATATCGGTTCAGTTTGAACCGTTAATCCCCGGTTTTTTTTCGTTTACGGGTTTATTTGAATATTGTAAAGAAAAGCACCATTTCTAAAATGTTTCTCCATTTTCTAAAATTAATACTGGACCTTATACAATCAATATATTTTCAAGATTCGTTAGTTTTGTAGTCTTACGGAAAAATAACTAACAATAACTTTGCTTTTTTAGACTTTATTTTTGGTTTCTACAAATCAAAATATATATTATTCAAAAATAAATTACAATCTTCGAATCATGAACAAAAAACATTATTATTATTTTTCTTTAAATATAACCTTGACAACGTTCAAAAATAATTAAACATAACTTAATATGACAGTTAGTTTTACGAGCGCATTATAATATGGGAAAAAAAAGCACATTTTAATAAAAATTATTTTTATCCCTTTTCATTAAGAAATATTCTAGTGGAAGATCAGGTTTATACCTAAGAACACTTCTAATGCGTTAACTTTGGGTATATGGCAACATCAAATGGCGATATACAAAAAAAAATAATTACTGATACTTATTCAGTGAGAAGATTGATTATTAATCATCATTAAAAGATTTAGAACACAGTTTCACAACCCTTATTAGAGTCCCTTTCGGTCGCAGTAGTGTAAAAATAACACCACCTTTTAACCTTTATATCTTCTAAAGGAGTTGATCACATAAAATGAAACCACCACGGATATATATTATTAAGGCACTTTTTCATGTGTGGAGGTTGTATTTTTTTCACGCATATATTAAAAATACGGCAACATATTAATTTTATGAGAAAACTTAAAGGGATGTGAATTTTTATATAAAATTATAATTCTCAATCTATTTTTATTTACAAAAAATGTGAATTATTCCGAAGGGAGTTTACGTTAATTAAATAGATAATTGATTTTAATCATAATCAATCCTACCCATCATAAAAGTTTAGACCTTATCAGCTGGTTATATCAAATTTATATTTATGTCTTTCAACTTTTCTTTATTATCCATCAGTTTGCAATTTATGATGGAATTTTAGCTTTTACCATATTTATCGCATTTATATTAAGCTTGAAAAACTATAAAGTGAAATTAATTTTATATTTTATAGTTACCCTTTGTAATAATAATTATTTTCTTAGAAAAGATATAAAATATTTCCTTGTAAAATGCGTAATATAAGGTTAAAATAAAAAAAGATATAAATTTAAATAATATTTACTTTTGCGTATTAAAATATAAATGAATTTCTGCAAATCTATGCTTTTTTTTTATTATCGTTTAATTTATACCTAACTAGATAGATGATAACTTAATAACTACTATTGACAGAGGCCTTCAGGCCCATACTAAACAAGGTAAGAAAAAATAAAAGATTTTTAAATTTTTTTCTTAAATTTAAAAAAAAAATTATATCCATAAATTGAAACATTGGTAAATCATATTATAGAGCGGGACAGGTTGTATATATTTTTAAATTACCCGAGCCGGGCCTAAAATTTTAAAAATACCCGGGCCGATCCGAATATTTTAAAACCGAACATTTAAAATCGCCATTATTATCTATAAAAATTAGAAATAAAAAAAATATATTCAAAAACCTTTTTAAAAAAAATCCGAGCTGGGCCTAAAAATAAATATTTTAATTTAAAAAAATGGGCCGGGCCAGCCATTGCAAATGAATATATAATATAATTTTAATTGGCATATTTTTTCGTCACTGAAATATTTGGATAATTTTTTGTTATCTTTGTCAGTCAATTCTAATTAAATATAAAATATCAACTAACATTCCTACTATTTAAAAACTTTAAAAAAAAATATTGCATGCTAATTTATATTTTAAAATTACTTCCCAATTGGTAATCATTTAAATAACACTTCAGTTTCTCAATCTAGTGACTTTATTTTATAAATATTTTTGGGTTATTTTTTCGACGGCTAACCCGCTTTATTTAATAATTGGTCTAAATATATTTAACGTTTCGAAGCTTATAATAAAGCAACTATCACTTCATATAATCAAATAAATATTTTAGATCTTTTTTAATAGTATTTTTTATCATTATTAGGTTTTAATTCATCACTCATCTACCTACTACCAGTACCAACCACAGTTATTCCGGAGTGAATAATCATGCCAAGAGTAATAGTGGTTCTCAATTCCCTTATATGTTCTAAATTTCTTATTACAGCCGTTCAAGGGAAAGCTAAACAATTCTTTCCGAAGGAACTGAGATTACCACCCTAGGTGAGTAACTCCCACTTCACCGGGGTCCGTATTTGATAAACGTCGGTATTATACGCTGGATGAATGGCACTTGCTACGCCGTTAAAGCCAGCCCCTGGTCTTATAGGTCTTACTGCCATCATGATTTAGTAGAATCCGAGAGGCTTTCGCTAGAATTTTGCATATGCGTTAAACGCAAATATTTTTTCATATACTTGACGTTAGCAGAGTAACGCGGTTGCGAGAAAGAAACGTAGGTGACGGGTCCTGCAATCCGCACATTACTGGGGGCGCAGGTGCCCATTTCGAAGTTGAGCATCATCGCGATTACTATAAACGAGATCAAAAGTTGAGGAAGCTAGCGATTTAGATTAAAGGCAGCTAGTTTTCACTTAATCATTTGCGATTTCCCCCCATCTATTCTCGAGGGCTAAATAAAAAAAAATAATCCTTTGTAATCAGCGACATATATCAATATTTTTTTAAACAGCTGTTCGATCAGCTAACAGATATATCATAGGAAAGATTAATTAGCTATATATATATAACTGATTTTATTTTATTCTTTCCAAATTTAATTTTTTTTAAAAAAATATTTGTTGTAATGACATTCTATCCATTTAATAATATTTTTGTCACCATAATTATATATATATATATAATAAAATTTTGATGATAATAATAATACATTTTATTTTAATGGCTATAATAAATACATGAATGAATAAAACAAAATGGAAGCATAAAACACAAAAAGTATATAATATTGTCTACAAATACGAATTAATAATTTTAAAAAACCAAATTTATTACTAAAATTATAATAATCATACAAAGTTTGAATACATAAAATCAGCTGTTTTATTAAAATTATAGAAGAAATAAAATAAGTGTTTAAAAAAAAGTTTATAAAAATAATTTTATAAGTTATTATAATATGCATTTAAGTTACAAATTGATCTATCGGATTAAAAAAAAATTCTAAAAGAAAATATTTTTGTTTGTTCTTACGAAAAAATAAAAAAAAATAAATAGATTTATTCGAATTATTTTTGTTTACTATATTTTTTTTAAATGCCTTTTATTTAATTTATTTATTATATCCGCCATTTTTAATTTATAAGCCAATCGTAATTGTCTTCAATAAAATATGCTAGTTCTTTGTGACGGTGGTGGTCTCTGAGGTTGCCTTATGGCTTGATTATATAACTGCTGTCGTTGAGCCGATTGTTGTTGCTGACTATCTGGATAAGGTTGGTAAGGTTGCTGGGCTTGGGGTTGTTGCTGACCCGTGGGGTAAGGGTAAGGTTGTTGTTGCCCTTGCTGAGTGGGTGGCAATTGCGCCCCACCCGTATCTCTAATACACACTTGACATCTCGACACTCTGCTTCGTAACTGACCAGCTTTAAGGGTTTGAGCTTCTGGTTTCTTGAATTCGTTCTCTTTGTCTATAGTTGCTAGCCAAAAACTTAGAGAAGAAGAGAAGTAATTGCACGTTCCCTTACCGTGGCATTCTATGAAGGGAGAAGCTCGGAAATCTTCCAAACAGGACCCTGGGGACACTAAGGATTGACCAGTACCATCAGCTCCGGCACCTGTATGCTAGAATATGGAGAAATATTTTAATTTTTTAAAGTAAAATATTGGAAAATAAATTAAATTATACTTACCATGACAAAACTGTATCCAATCCACAACCCATTCCATCCGGCAGGGCAATCAGGAATAGTCATGGACTGACTGTGCACCGCTATCACCTTGAGGATAATATTAAAACGAATAAATAAAAAATTTATATGCAACGAGACCCTATCTAATTTTGAGCCGATCATTAATATTCTCTCATCTTAAATAAACCACTGATCTTAAAAACGGTTAACTATAAATTGTTCTCTAGTACCATGGCGGGAGTTTCACACACAGAGCAGCGACTAATGTAAGGTTTAATTTCTTCGGCGGGAATAAGCGACATACTCGATTTCATGGGTTCTTCCGTCGACAACCAATAACTGTAATCGTTTCTGGATGCCACGTTGCAAAGGTTATCTAAACTGCAGAACAAGAATGGCATCGTGCTAAATTTGGTCAAACAACTACCGGGTGATCCCAAATCTTGGCCGTGAGCCCGTTCATTACCTTGAACGTGTAACAAGGAATAACCTTCCCATAATGGAGTAGTACCAGCGGGACATCTCGGAACCTCGGTGGATTGACTGTGGCGAGTCAAATAAAAGCCTCTGGTTGGAGCTGAATGACCAGGAGCTCCGGCTTGGCCCGGAAATCCTGGTGGACCGGGTGGCCCCAATGAACCGGGCAATCCTTATAAGAAATTTTTTAAAATGATTGCTAAATGACAGATCATAATTTTATTTATTAAAAAATTGTACATATATATTTATATATAATATAAGAATAAACATAATTAGAGGTATTCCTAAAAAAAAAATCTTTTTCTAACTTTCCCCGAAACCAAAAAAGTCAACAAATACAAGAATTCGAATAAATTCATTTTTTATGCCAATCCCTTTCAATTTTTTTACGACATTAGTTCATAAAATGTGACAATTTACCAAAAAGTCCAGAGAATTCTTTTTTATCAGACTATGTATAAATATAATTTAATTTTTTAGCTATTATTTAACGTCTTAGCGGTTTTGTAAAAAAGTAGATGAAATATATATTTTTAAAAACCTTCATATCCAGGAACACCTTCATCACCTTTAGGTCCGGGCATCCCGGGAGATCCGGGAAATCCGGGAGGACCAGCGTCTCCTTTAGCACCAGAAAATCCGGGTAAACCGGCTGTTCCGGGTTTGCCCGGTTGACCGGGTGATCCAGGTAATCCGGGGAAACCGGCGTCACCTTTCGGACCTTGTATCAGCATGTTGGAGGGTATCTGAGGAGTGTATCCTGGGTTACCCTTTTGACCTTTTGAAAAATTTTACATTAACATATAAATAATAAAAATGAAAGGATATTGAAAAATAAAATCTAATTTCCCGGAGATGTCTTATTAGCTTCCATAAATCTTAAAGTGAGTCTAAGGATGGAAGGGATGCTTAAAATAGGGGTGGGGGGGGGGGGGGGTTAAGATTTAAATTATTATAAAAAAAATGGATTAAATAAATAACCTGGCAATCCGTCTAGACCGGGATTTCCGTCTCTACCTGGTAAACCAGGTGCTCCGGCATCACCTTTAGCTCCCGGAAATCCGGGGGCACCATCTTTACCTGGGAATCCTGACAAACCCGCGTTTCCTTTAGCTCCAGCCAATCCCTTTTACGAAATAAATATTTAAAAACTATAATTTTATCGATTTTTGGTAGATACTATTTTAATTGCATTATAAATTCGAGTCTCGATATGCGAAAACGCAAAATGGCTAGTAATCGCGATCTTTCTTTTCTGGAGACTTAATATGCTATGGTGAGTCAATGAAAATATTAAGCCATTCTTTTCGTCCTAGATGTTTTGCTGATAGGCATGGTTACGATAAGATTTTGATTATTTTATCATAAATTATTACATGAGCATTATAATTTAAAATACATTAGTAATTTTTTTATCTATGATTACACATTGACCATCGACACTAATATATCATAATTATAATAAGTTATAATTTCGTGTTTTCAAAAATTTGCATATTACTGGAAAGCCTGGTGGTCCTTGAGGTCCTGCAGTGCTCAATCCAGGGAAACCTGCGTCACCTTTAGCACCGGGTAAGCCGGACAGACCGGGGAATCCTGGACTTCCTTTGGGTCCGACAGGACCAGGTAAGCCTAGAGGAATACATTTATTTATTAAATATCTCAAACGTATTTAAAATGCGCGGTTATGGTTCATATTAATTCGTCACCCTCGCTTCTCGAATCGTAATATTGTAGTATTATTTTAAATATGAGCCCTTAATAGAATTCACCTATTCTATAATTCAAACCCACTCACTAAAATGTCATTATATCCTATTTAATCATAATACCTTTTGTTTTAAAAATGTCATTTTACAAATCTATTTGTATGAGCTAAAAAAAATTATAAATTAAGCCATTTGAGTATTTTTTTTTGTAACCCAAAATTTGAGAATATCACATATTCTAAACTTATATTTTTGTATGAGAAACAAAAAGAATCAAATTTTCGAAATCAACCCAGTTCGACGTTCCGAACAAATCATGTTAGACAGATGTTTCTAAGGAAGCGGAACTTGTAAGATTTAAAACCAATCCTACATCGTACTTAATAAGTTGATATTTTATTAATTTTATAAAATGATCTAAAAACACATGTTGAACGGGGGTTCGATTTAGCGTAATAATATTTTAACCAAAATAATATTAGGCAAGCCCCTAGATTTCATTAATAGATGTCCAAACCTTTGTGTCGTCTAAGAGCAAATTCTCCAGGCTTGCGTAACATGTAAAATATTGGACAACATTATCAAGAATTATAAAAATTACAATGGCGATCGTGAATTCATGGTAAAATTCGAAAAATATTGATTTAAATGAATGGCCAAATTAAAGTCCTGACAGGACCAAAATTTGAATTCATATCCATCAAGATTCATTCTTCTTTTTTCTAAAATGATTTACGATCACGTGGTCCAGAAATTTTACGCTCGAAGCCAACATTTTACTCTATTTTCAACAAATTTCTTTTCCCTCGGACATCGATGAAAAGATTTTATAAAAATCTCAACTAAAATTTTCTCTCAAATTTTAACCGGCCCCTCTTTTTTTTAAACGCATATGATTCTGTTTTTAACATATGTTTTAGATATATTTCTGATCTGGACTATACTATAGTATCATAATAATTCTGGCAGCGCGCTTGAGATTGACAGATTAATACGAACCTATGTCATAACCGCGCCTTTTATAATAAAATCTAAATAATTCTTACATATAATATTTATAAGAAAAGAGTAAAATGCAAACAACTTTTTAAAAAAATAAATAAATAGAAGAATGTTTAAATTAACAAAAAAAAATTGCCCTAAAAATATGGAAGATATTATATTTAATTAAAGATTTAAACATTTTAATTCTATAAAAATTAAGATAAGGAGAAATAAAATGATATTTAAATAAGAAATTTTTGAGTTTTAATCTATAAAAAAACAAATAAAATAAAAACCAGGGGTTCCTGGGTATCCGGCATCTCCTTTCGCTCCCGGAAAGCCAGGGGCTCCTGGCAGATTTTCTCCGGATATTCCTGGAGCACCATCTCTACCAGGTGCACCCAAATCTCCTCTATCTCCTTTCAAGCCTGGTAGACCAGACAAGCCAGGGAATCCTGGTTCCCCTTGAGGTCCGGGCGAGCCTTTGAACAAATTTTTTTTAATTTTAATTTTTAAATATATTTTCCAGAACTCCTATTTTTTAAACGCTTTTAGGAACTTAAAATTTTTTATATACCTGGTGGTCCAAGTGGACCTGGTGCTCCTGCCAATCCCGGAAAGCCGCTAGGTCCTGCTGATCCGGGTAGCCCGTCAAGCCCAGGTAAACCGTTATATCCTGGGTTGCCTTTTTGACCCGGTAGCCCGGGAAGTCCGGCTAATCCTGAATCACCTTTACCACCTGGTAAGCCTGATATATGATGTGTGAATAAGATTAGATAAATATAAAATTTGATGTATACAAATAATTACAACTTAATAAAAACATAGTAAAAATTTATTTGTATTGGTATCTTGCATGACTATTTTCATATGTTACCTGGTAATCCGGGGCCTCCATCTTTCCCTGGTTGACCTGCTGGTCCAGGTGGGGCTGGTAGACCTTTTGACGAAGAAGAAAAAGAATGGGGTTTTAATATTCAGAGATAAGGTTTATAAATGAATAATTTTACTTTCATGGTGATTTATAAAAGATCTATAACAAATATTTGTTATGCAACATTATACCTGGTGCTCCAACCTCCCCCTTTTTCCCAGGTAAACCGGGCTGTCCTGAGAATCCGTCCAATCCATGATCTCCTTTTTCGCCTGGATACCCGTTAAGACCTGGTAGACCGGCATCGCCCTAGATATAAATTATATATTTTCATATCGGCCGATAACTGCAATTAACCGACCGGTTACTAACTTTATCATCCGGTAATTGATATTAACCGACTTTATATTGTCGATATCAGCTGTCAACTAATATTAACCGAACTGATTGTAACAATATCGGCCGTAAACTTGTACCGATTCGGTATTATCTAATTAACATGTTTTTTTCATGGCATATTTACTTAATAATCATAACTTATTAATTTTTAAAGGATTGTATAATTATAATAAATGTATATATTTTTTATTCTCTATCTCGATACAAAGGATTTGCCATGAAAAAATATTATAATATCTTCCAATACAGATATCTTAAAAAATGAATATTACTTTTGACGGTTATAAGAGCGAATATTTCAAGACTTAAATTAAGATAAAATTTTTAAATAACTAACTTTCAATCCGGGCAAACCAGATAAACCGGGGTAGCCTGAATCCCCCTTCTGACCCATTGCACCGGGTTTTCCTGGTTGTCCAGGCGCTCCTGATAATCCTGGAAATCCTGCATCACCCTTCTGTCCAGGATAACCTTTTTTTATTATTTAAATTTTTGTCAAAAATAATCTATATTTAAATTTTACAATTATTTTAAATATTTATCCCTGAAACTTAAAATTTAAACTAGTTAAATTTTAATCATAAATTATGACAATTTTTCAAAGATATTGCTTTTTTTAAATATTAAAAATTATTTTTTTTATCTTTTACCGGGGGTTCCATCTAATCCTCTATCCCCTTTCATGCCCGCCATTCCTGGTAATCCGGGCAAACCGTCTTTACCAGCGTCACCTTTATAACCCGGGGCACCAGGAGCTCCATAACCGGCGTCACCTTTAGCCCCATTAGCTCCGGGATAACCTGGTGCTCCGGCATCTCCCGGGGCACCTGCAAGACCTGTATTTTTAAATTAAATCGTTGCAATTTTTTTCTAAAAATATCTAGTTTTATTTTGTTGTCAATATCATAAATGAAAGATAATCTTTCTCTTCTCTTCTCTTCTTTCTTTCTTTCTTTCTTTCTTTCTTTCTTTCTTTCTTTCTTTCTTTCTTTCTTTCTTTCTTTCTCTTTATATAAAAAAAGCAACGGGCTCTTTATTGGTTTTGATATTTAAATAGTTTAATATTATAATCTTTAACCTGGAAATCCGGCATCTCCCTTTGCTCCTGGGTAACCTGGTAGTCCAGCTTCACCTGGCAACCCAGGTGTTCCAGGAAACCCGTCGAGTCCTCTCTCACCTATTTTTAAAAGATAGTTTAAATATTTGAATTCTTCGTAATTTTCGTCATACGGTTTTAATAAATTTGTTCGACCACGTCTTATGATTTTTTTTAAATATTAACTAGGAAAGTAAGTATAGTATATATATATATTAAAAAAATCTCCGTTGTTTAAGTTTTATTTCCAGAAATTATTTGAAAGGAGAAAACAGTATAAATCTTTGCAAAATATAAAAGTTAATAAAATAATCTTGATTTATGAATAACGAAATGTATTTCCACTATAATAATATTATATTGAATTCACCCACTAAAGCAGCTGATTATATAATAATAGTGGTGGGAGTTTATAACTAGGTGATACTTAAAAAGAAAAAATCAAAAACACTTATTCAGTTTACCGCCGATAGAAAGATAATAAAAATCAACTTAATAAGATAATTTAAAAAAAAATTTAACCTTTAGCTCCAGGAGACCCTGAAGTTCCTGGGAATCCATCTTTCCCGGGAAATCCTGCATCACCTTTGAGACCTGGCAATCCTGGAAAACCGTCTTTACCAGGTGTTCCTGGATATCCACTAGAACCTGGATTTCCTTTCTGTCCGGGTAACCCTTTTAATGGATAAAATTTAAAAGTAAAAAAAACACATATGTAAATTCTTCATTAAAAATAACATTTGCTTAAAATTTTGACGCTTACTGTCTTTTAAGATATAAAGAGAGCAATATTTTATATCTAAAAAAAAATATTATTCTCACCTGGAAGTCCAGGAAATCCGTCTTTTCCGGGTAGACCAGCTAAACCCGGGAATCCATCTTTACCCGGCGCACCAGGGAATCCATCTTGTCCTCTATCTCCTTTAGGACCCGATAACCCTGGGAAACCTATATCACCTTTTGCACCAGGAAATCCGGGAGTTCCAGGAGTTCCTGTAAAATAAAGCATCATAAATAAATTGACTAAAAAATATGATAAATTTTTGAAATGACATTCGCGTTTAGAAGGATACTTTAACATTTACAGGGTAAAATATTCTATTCTAGCAATATAAAATTATCGAAAATATCGTATATACTAATTTTTTTTCAAAATATTTTACTTGAAAATAGTTATCAAGCTCGTCAAGCTAAGTTCTATGAAACATTAAAAAAATGTAACCTGATAATCCAGGAGCTCCAGAGAATCCAGGCGAACCCGGTAATCCAATTCCTGCTTCGCCTCTGTCACCTTTAGCGCCCGGAAATCCGGGCAAGCCATCAGCTCCAGGTAATCCTGTTAAAATTATAAATTAATACGTATAATAATATAGTGACTTGATAAAAATACGGACCATGTAGGGTTTTAACAAATAACAAACCCGGACCCGGATTTTGAAAAATAACAACCCCTCTTGTTTTTTAAAATTAAAACAAAATGATAATTTCTATGAGATAAGGGATGAAAAGGAAGCAATTAGTGATTCTTTTGTTATTTTAGTTATAGCATTATTATAAATCAAAAAATATATATACCTTGCGGTCCTGTCTTGCCAGGCATACCAGGGGCTCCTGGTAAACCCTCTTTTCCGGGAAAGCCCGCATCTCCCTTTTGGCCTGGATACCCGGGAGTACCTGGACTGCCTTGGATTTGACTAGCGGCTCCGGGTAATCCAGGATTTCCCTAACATATATGTTATGTACATGATTTATAAATTTGTCTATTATTAGCATTTGGAATTTATAGTGTATTATTGTTATTCAAAGCCTCGAAATTAAATTTGAGAATCACTTAAATGAGAAAAGCTTCAAATTATAATTATCGAAAGAAAAAATGGATATAATTATATTTTCTTTCGAAATGTAATTTTTTTTTCATATACTTTTTGTCCGGGCATGCCCATAAGGCCGGAATCCCCTGGGGGGCCCATTACACCTGGTTGACCGGAAGGTCCAGGTAAGCCAGAAAGACCAGGAAATCCTTTATCACCTGTGTCGCATAAATATAGTTGCATTCTTTAACAAAAATTTAATCAACCTGGCTGCCCTCTAAGTCCTTGAGAACTTTGTCCTGGAATACCCGCTATTCCTTGCAAACCTGGGAGACCATCTATTCCTGGTTTGCCTGGCTGTCCTGGTGGACCTATTGCGAATGCGCATTAGTAAATATAACAATACAGATTTATAATAAATTAATTTGGGCTTGTATTATAATATCTACGTGATTATATTATATTCTAATAAGATAACTTCAAACTTTTATAAGAACGCTTAGGAAAGAAGGGAAAAGTGGAGAGAATTATAAAACTCAAAAATACCAAATAAGAATTAAAATTATACAATTTAATTTTATCATATTCATAAACCTTGACTGAATATTTATTTACACGTTTATATATTTAGAAAAAATGATACTTTACAAAAGAAAAAGATCAAATTTACTTTTAAATAATAATTTTAAAGTTATATTTATATCATGTTGGTAATTATCTATCATTGTAATTGTACCCGTTAATCCAGGGTATCCCGCATCTCCTTTGGCTCCTGGCAACCCTGGCTCTCCGTGAATACCTGGCATCTGATCTAATCTAGCGGGTTCACCTTTGGCACCTAGAATTCCATATTATAATATATTAAGATTATAGTTGAGTAATTGCTAAAAATCGGTTAATTTGTCTCAATCTGCTATGCGAGTGAAGAACATCCGCTAAGCATTGTGGCGCAAATTAATTTATTTCTGCTTCCTTCAAAGTTGATGCTTAATTTTCTTTTAGCCGACTAGCGAAAAAAAAAATAGAGCAATTGCTCAACTAGAGATTTAAAATATAACTCTTCTTTGTAAAATATACTTTTTTTTAAATGGACAATTTGTATCTCGATACATTAATGCTTTATAAAAGTTAAAAAAAAATTAGTCAACTTCTGCATGTGAAAATTTATATCGATAATAATATAAATATAATATTAAAGTAATTATAATTATATAGTGCTAAAATGAATTATTATTTCAACTATGAACCCTTTTTTTGAGCGTTTTTTTTTAAATTTTAAAAATCTTATTTATCCAAAAATGTATTCCCGCATGTTTAGAACACCTATCTTATGAATTGTAGGCAATTTTGTCGTTAACCTTTGAGTCATTCATAATTTATATAAAAAAAATATACATGGAAAATTGAAATATAAAATTAGATTAAGAAGTTCATGATTGACTGAAATTCATAAAGTAGGTATAACCATAATGGAATACATTTCCGCTAAAATCGGATTCTTATATTTTAAAAAACGCGCTCACATTACCGGAATTTGACGCATTGCCGCTACATCACGGGTCTGGACCCCGGGACTGAACCCCGGGGTCATATGATAAATTTTTTTATATGAATGTTTCTAAATCTAATCTAAACCTGGGAATCCAGGCGTTCCGGGTAACCCAGGCAACCCCGGCGCTCCTACTGGCCCAGCAACTCCTGGAATTCCAGGATAGACCTCTCCTCGATTTCCCTTTTGACCCGTCATACCGGGTAGACCAGGTGAACCGTCTTTTCCCGGAAATCCATCTAATCCATGATCACCCTATTTATTAAAAATAATAATTCAAAATAAATAAAAAGTGAAAATTTATATTTTTTTTTTATTTTGTGTTTTTAAAATTAAATAATATTTTATCCGTTTAATTTCATAAATTTAAGGGATGTAAATAAAACGAAAAAGGCATTTTTAAAAAACTGTTTAAAAAACAAAAATAATAAAATAAAAAACGCTAAAAATCATTATTTAACGAATTTTTGAAACACAAAAAATTAGAGATGAGCATTTAAAATGATCGTGATAATGAATTATTTCCAACAAAATAATTAAATTCGGCTCATTTTTTCCTATAAACTAAAAATGGTCATTCTAACCTAAAATTGCTTTTGAACTCTATAACTATACCTGAAAAAATATAAGTTCCATGGATTTTTAAAAAATAATCTTTGCGTATAGCAATGTGTTCCAACTGAACTGATGATGGATACCTTTTTTTTTGTTTAAGATATATCTGTCAATTTTAAAAATAATTCAATAAAATTTTATAGATTGTGAGAGGAATAAATTATATAAATGTTTTCTGCGTACGTATAACTTTCTAAAGGTTACAAAGTTATGCAGATTAAAAAGGTGTGCAAACAAAATTTGAACTTTTCAACATGTAAATCTCATTTTTTTAAAAAATCTTTATTTAACTTTAGATTTAAGCAGACGATAATTTAGAAGAAATAAAATCGTTTTCAGTAAAGATAACTTATGTTTAATTAAAGTTTTAAGACAAAGTCACAGAAGAGTTCTGAAGGAATTTCCTAAAAGAAACTGGTCTTAGCAACCTTGAATCGATTGATTGTAAAATATTGATGATATCGGATCAGCAGAAAAGCGGCATCGTGGTAGTAGACGAGGCACAGCTCGTACTATAGAAGATGTTGGTACTGTAGAAACACCCGTATTGAACTAAGAAGACCGATCTGACACCTACAGAACAATTCGTCGAGTATTCCGAGATACTGGTATTTCGAAAAACTTCAGTGAATCGGATTATCCACTAAGAGCTGCAGCTGAAATGTTTTTAAAAAAAGAAACAAGCCAGAATGCCCATCTGGTATGTAACAAACAAGATCTACAAAAATACCCTCAGTGGTTAGTTCATTTTCGTATGGTCTATGGATGAAAAAAATCTGTTTACAGTTCACTGGTAAATCTGCAAAATGATAAGGTGGCACCATGCAGTTTCAATGAGAAAAAAAAACAAGTTGACGCCAATGGATTTCTTAGTACTTGTTCAAATTTCTCTAACCAATCATGGTTTCCGTTTGGATATCAAGTCTTGACTGCACAGAGCTCATTTTTATCGATCCAGGGGTCTATCGTAACGTTTTACTAGGTGAGCACTTATTGCCTACTATTAAAGAATTGTCGGAAAGTAAATTTTTCACTTTCCAATAGGACAATGCTCCAGCTCACTTCACCGAGCCAGAGAAACTGTGGAACTGCTTACAAAAGAAACTCTCGATTTCTGCTCTTTGACCAACCAATAGCCATGATCTCAATCCGGTCGACTACAAGATATGGAGGGGCGTCCATCAAGAACATGTTTATCAAGCATACGCGACGTTGACCATCTCAAACTGGGACTTGTGGATGAATAAAATCGCGTTAATCAAGGAGGAATTGTTGATTGTGCAATCAATGAATGGCGAGATCGCCTTAGAGCATGTTTTCGAGCTAATGACGGGAATTTTGAACATCAACTTTGAAGCTTAGCTCTTAACTCAAATTAATTTTGAATGTTGATGTTTTCATGTTTTTGTCGAATTGTAAAGTTTAATATAAAAAAAACAAAAAATAAATTTTACATGTCGGAAAATCTCGAATCTATAAAATTTTATTGAATTATTTTTAGAATTGACAGATCTATTGCTAAAACAAAATGGTATCAGTTCAATTTGAAGACAGTGTAGGTTAAAAAAAAACGAATTATATTTAATTATGGAATATATATAAATATATATCATTTAATATGACTTAATAATTGATATAGTAATTATTACTTTTATAGAAAAGAAAATAAATAATGTTTTTTTAAACTTTAGGGCCAGGTAGTCCGGGCAAGGCAGGAGCCCCTGGAGCTCCCGGAAGTCCGTCAAGTCCTGGCAAGCCCGCGAGGCCTGGATATCCACCCTCACCTTTGTCGCCCTTAACGGCTGCTGAAGCTGTCGGGTAAACTACTTGCCCTTGATCTCCTTTAGCACCTGGCATACCAGGCTGACCATCTCTCCCTGGTGGTCCCTAATATGGTAAAAAAAAATATATAAATGCATATTTTCAATATTTTCAATAAATTATCGCATTTTATTAATTCCTTTTTTATATACTCCATTTAACAACTGATCGAGTTTATAGAGTCGCATTAATGATTAATTCTTAATACAAATCCTAATGGGGAATTTAAGATTTCATTTTTAAAAAAAATATCGATAAAGAAAAATTTATCTCATTATCAGCCGTTTAAGGTTAAAGTCGCATTACACAACACTTTAGAATGCAAATTTTGAATCATAATTAGTTTAAATGTGCTGGCTAATGTAGGCTCATTAATTATAGCATTATACTATGTAAATTGTAACCTAACATTTTTAAACTCAGAGTGAAATAACATCTCAACCCTGTAAAAATATTCTAATTTTTATAACCCAGCGTAGATTAAAAATATTTTAGCGATGGAGGAGGGGGAGGTATGTCGCAAGATTTTCATAGAAATTGGAAGGTGGGTGTGCAGTTTGGTCCTGTAGGGGAATAAAAATTTTGAGTGCATTGATATAGGGGGTCCCCAATACTATATTTTATATAAAATTAATGTCAATTTAAACAAAAACTGTTATAAACTACCTTTAAATTAAGATCGTGTAAATGGAATTAAACAAACCTTAGGCTTATTTTCAAACAATTCGATAAAAAAGCTTATATTTTCCCACATTGAGATTAAATTTACTATTATATTCTTATCAATTTTTTTTACAAGTTAAATATATATTTAAGAAACGAATTTAAAAAAAATATGGAAATGTTTTAAATTAAATCTGCACTGTTATTTCATTCGTTTATTTTTGTATCTTCTATATTCAAGATTAGATAACTTCAACTTTTAGTTTATTTTTATATTTATTATAATAAACTTCAATTTTATTATTACTATATTAGTAATGTTGTCGAATTTTTAAAAATGCCGGAATTAAGATTTTAGCTAAAATATTATAATGTAAGCCAAAAGACTTTGTTCATGGGTAATTTTAATCGGGCCGTTTAACAATGCCATTCATTGTCTATATATGAATACATCGATTTTAGTTCAGAAAAGGAAAAAGGAAGATTTATCTAGAATCCCTGCTTATCCATTAAAATATATGATCTTAAAAGACTCCATAAATTAAAACATTTTCTCCTACCATTTTCAAAAAAATGCAAAATTTAAGCAGGTGTTTCATTTAAAATAATAACTTTTACATGAGTCTACTAAAAAAAGATACACTTCAGATTTAAAAACGATACTTTAGCAATATTCTATGATAAGGTTCGGTTGATAAAATGTATCATTTACTGGAATGCCATCAAATCCTGCAGGCCCATGCTCCCCTTTGTCGCCTTTCAATCCGGGACCTCCACGATAACCTTGAGGTCCGGGTTCGCCGGGTATGCCTAATTTTGTTTTTAATTATTTAGATGAGTTTACATTTTTTGGGGGGGAACTGAACTGAAGAAATGTATCATAATTTATTTTTCTTAAATATTAATATCCTTTTGAGACATTCGAGAAATCTTTTCATGCTACCTCATTGACAAATAAAATATAAGTAAACGAGGGCGTAACTACGGCTTACCTTAGGATTTAAGACGTTGCCTAAGGGGGGTGGGGGCACAAAGAGTGACATATTAAAAACATATGATATGAAAAATTCTCTAAGTCTAAAACGCAAATCTCCTTTATTGTATTTTTCGACGACTATAAATTTTTAAACTAAATAATGGCGATAAATATCTTAGGGACGGCACTTGAAATAAATATTCGAAATAAATAATGTAAATCATTACAAACACTTTTAATTATTTTATTGCATTCTACGTTTCTTTTTAAATGAAAATTTCTCACATTGTTTTCTCCTTCTTTATCCCAATTATTTTCTTTCATTGAAAGGGTGGCTATTTATGTAAATTAAAGAATTTAATTACCTGGGATTCCCATATCTCCTCTATCTCCTGGCAGTCCGGGTAATCCGTCTAAACATTGCCGACATTCGAGACCTTTGTCGCCTTTAGGCCCTAAAAGTCCAGGGAAGCCGTCCAATCCAGGTATACCTGGATTACCTGGCGGTCCTGGTGACCCTGATGGGCCCGGTGGCCCAACCAACCCCGTTCCTTGTCCGGGCAAACCGGGTGGTCCTATAATCATATATTTATAATGAGTAAATAATTAAGAATAATTAAACCAGCTGATATTCTTAAATTCCAATCGAGCATATAATAACTAAATACAAAATAACAAGCCTAACATTTTCAAATTTCAAATATCTCTCTAGTCCAAATGAAGATATTTTTTAGAGCTTTCCTCGCTTTGACGCAACAAAAGTATGATAAATTATTTAATGTAACCTGGAATTCCCGGATCTCCTCTGTAACCGGGTAAGCCGGATAAACCGTCTTTTCCATATCTTCCCTCCGGGCCGGGTGGTCCGGTAATAGAATATCCTGGTGGTCCTTGCTCTCCTTTTAATCCTGGATGCCCGGGAGCTCCGGGTAAACCAGATGGGCCTGGCATCCCTGGCGATCCTAACATATAAAAAAGATAATATTTTTAAAAAGTGTGAAGCAATTTTTCATGGTAATATTTATATACCAGTATAAATATGTATGTTAAAAAAAATGAATAACTGTTAGTTACGGGATAGGAAAATTACATTAATATAATTAAAATATAAATTGATAAAACGAATTTATTTTTACTCACCATCAAATCCTGGGTTTCCTTTAATTGATATACCGGGTAAACCGGGTGATCCCGGTAAACCGTCTCTCCCTGGCGATCCGGGTAACCCTTGCAATCCGGGTAGCCCGGGTAATCCATCGAGACCTGAATGTTATAGTATAAATAAATAAATATATTTTTTATGAATAAAAAAAATGTATTTATTGAGATGAATAAGCCTTAATTTGAAATACAAAGGATGATTTACCTGGCAATCCTGAGGGGCCAGGCCTACCTTCGGGTCCTTGAGGACCCGTCGGACCTTGCACGAACTCTCCTTGTCCTGGAGGACCTGGTAGACCCTAAATATTTTGAGTAAAAATATTTGCGTGAATGAATAAATTTTTAGACAAATCTCAAAAGTAATAATGCCAAAAAATATGCTAATAAGTTTTTTTGGCCATGAACTAATAAAATAAAAATGTAAGGTTTTTAATGTTAGGGTTTTAAAAGAAAAAAATTTTCAATAATTTGTACGACATTTATGACAAAAAAATTAAAATTATTAGACAATATTGAACAGAATTAAAATCTTCAAAAAAATAAATTTAAAGAAAAGAATGATATTTTTGACCAAATTTTTACCTATTTTTAATATAATGCGTTACAACCCTAACCCATAAAACCTAGCCAATGAGAGTGCTCTTTTCAAAAATAAATCGCACACACCCTAAAGTTGATAGCTTAAAGCTTTATTTTTTAATATAATACGTTATAACCTCAACCCATAAAACCTCTTCAATGAGAGTGGCGGTTTCAAAAATAAAACGCACACATACCCCCATTTTAATGAAGATAAAAATTTTCCTTACCGGTAATCCTTGAGGACCAGGTCTTCCTTCATAACCTATGTCTCCTTTGCCTCCCTAAAATGATATAAGATTATATTTATTAATATCCACTTTTATAAAGTTAATAAAATCAAATAATTTATGTTTTATTTTTTTTTACAGCTCGGCCAGGTTGTCCTGATGATCCTGGATATCCAGATTCACCTTTAAGACCTTTTTCTCCCATTGGTCCAATAGGTCCGTCTTTTCCGCGTTTCCCCTATTATATAAATTAATTAATTATATTTGAATGGTTTATTTTTTTTAAATTAATTAATTTTCCTTTCCCTCCTTAATTCCTTTTTTTCCCAATTGAATAAATAAAGGCATTCATTGTTTTACGACTGGTTATAATATAAATTTATCTCACTTCTCCAGAAATATGTATTCTCATATTAATATAGCTATTCCCTGAAAATATGTAATAAAAATGGAAAAAATAAAATGTGTATTTATGCGTTTTAAGGTAACAAAATATTTCGAGATAATAAATTTTATAACAGCGTGCTGCTTATAATAATCTAAAAATTATTTTGCGTTAATATTAGACATCATAAAATATTTAAAACGAGTTAATTTATAATTAAATATTTGGTGGTAGTAAGAAGAAATATTTTAGTGATTTGTTATATATAGATCCTAATCCCAATAATTAAATCTGGTAATTGGATATATTCAAAAGGGATGTTTAGATTTAATTAAGTAAATCCGCTTAAAAGTTGGTGGGAGGGCGCAAGTTTATTTTTTTAAAGTTAGACATTCTTTAAAAGTCGGTTTAAGCCCGGCTTAACCCGTAGTTTAAATTGAGCCATTTTATTTTCACAATTCGAAAATAGTGTAAAGACTTACAAATATATTATTATATTTTTAATTCGATACTTACTCTTTTTCCGGCAGGTCCAGGTAATCCCTTTTCTCCGGGTCCTCCGGGAAATCCAGGAATACCCTATAAAAATATATGTGTGTTATGGTAATAAATTATCATTGTAAAATCTAGTATTCGTAAAATTTACAATTATAAATGTAGAAAATATATCAGTATAAAAAAAATTTGGAACATTAGTCCTTAACCAAGATTAAATCTAGCTTTCGCTCTCAATATCGAAATCCAAATTTATAAATTATAAAAATATGCGATTAAATAATTTCGAACTTACATCCTGCCCCGGAAGTCCATCGTATCCTCTTGTACCACCTTCACCCTTTTCACCCTTTAGAAATATTTTTTTTGATTTAGATCATAATATTTATTTGTATAATAAAGTATAGTCTATATTAGTGAAAAACTCTTTTGGCTATTAAATAACTAATAATAGGAAAAAAAGGTTAATTCTATCTAAAGAACTTCAATTAGAACTAGATGCCTTGACATATTTATTAGATTTTTACAGAAGCTAGAATTTAAGAAGAAAATTTAAATTATCTTTGTTTTCCAGCTAAAAAAACTCAAAGAGATCAACGAAAACTTAGAATATAAATTCATAAAAAATCGAAAGCATTTCAATACAAAACTTTAATTCCGATATCGCCTTTAGGTCCTTGTATAATTTGACCGATTGGTGGTTTATCTATGCTCAAAGTTCCAGGTCTCCCTGGCAACCCCGAGGGTCCGGGTTCTCCTTTTTGTCCTTTAGGTCCTTGGAATCCAGGTCCCATGTTACCTTTGTCACCTTTTTCACCGGGTGGTCCTGAGTAACCCTTTAAATGATTTAGTTTTTATTACGTTTAAGAAATTACTTTCTAACGGAAGTGGTGGGGGTGGGAGGGCAAATTGGGCTCCATTTTGTTTTATTTTTTTTTTAAAAGCAAATTAATACCTATTCGAGATCAAACTTAACAAAATATTTATTATCTTAAGATGTTGTTTACGGGTGGTCATTTTATCCGAATTATCCTAACATTTTCAGCTGTTGCGAATTCGCGGCGAAGTATACAAAAATTAAGATATTAAATATTGAATTTTGTATATTTCGAAGCAAATCGCACTAACTATGAGTGTAGTTTAAAAAATATTTTTTTATACTAACGTAAGGTCCAGTTTCTCCTTTGTCACCTTTTTCCCCTGGATAGCCTGGATTTCCGGGTTGACCCTATATTTTTAGAAAAAATATCAAAAAAATTTATTGACAAAAGGTATAATAAACAAAATAAAATGGCATATACTCGAATATCAAATTACCGAAATAATGAGAAATTCAGTGTTGTTTAAATCGACTACCTTTGACCAACTCAATAATGACAGCCAATAGACTGGCGATTCATTCATTTACCTGCGTACAAATACAAATCAGCTGTTATGAACGCCATTTATGTTTCCCGTATAAAACAATTCACATTAAAATTTTATGAGTACTTCTTTCTTTTTTTAAAAAAATAATAATATCCGTTTTATATTTTTAAAAATGGCAAGTCCACAACGACAAAGCTTCAAACTCAGATGATTGTCAGTTCTAGATAAGAATCATATGTCTATACTCTTTATAGATTTTTTAAAAAATAATAAGTCAAATATCTAAATCAAACTTTTTAAGCTTATTTGTGAATTCGGCTAAAGGATAGGTGATATTAACGAACATTTAGACAAAATTGTTTATAAGAAAAATTTGTATAAATATAACCTCGAACATAATAAAGCGAAAACTAGCAGAGGTAGTTGTAAGCCATATATTTGCACAATGCGGGAGGAATCATTAAAATTCAAGGTTTCTTAATTCCAAAAGGATTATATAACAAAAATGGGATTTCGCATTAAATCGCATATTATCGGCAAAACAAAAAAAAATTAAAACATTCGTTTTGAAAATTAATATACCACATTGGTAAAATGGTGTAAGTATATAGGTCACATCTGTTATTTCGATATACAAATTTGCTATAACTTTGAACAAAAATATCACTGTTGTATAAAAAGTTAACCATTCTTTTCCAATATCGAAATATTTTATTAACTTAGTTTAAAAAAATGATGAGATTTTATATATATAATGCAAATTTTATATATAAATCCTTGAAAAATACAAAAAAATTTAGGGGATTTTATAAAATTAAAATCGTATAAACAAATATTTTTTTTATAGATATTCGCAAAACAAAAACGTATAATATATTATTTTTTTCGGAGACCTTTTAGTCGGGATTCTGGGGGTCTTTTAATGGTAAACTCTGAAATGAACTTACCCTTGTTTTTTATCCTTAGAATATTGTAATTTACTTGTTTTTTTAAGCTGAAAACATAGCTAAGTCCAATAGTGGAGTTGGCCAACGTTAGTGATGAATTAACAACACTACAGGAAAAAAATTTTTAAGGTAGGAACTAAATAATGTCAGCTGTTCAAAAAATCATTTTGACCTTCCCTTTAAAAATCGTTCACAAAAATACCGCCAAAATTATTTAAGTGTTTTTACCGGCAAACCATCTCTCCCGGGAATTCCGCCTTCGCCTTTGGTTCCTACGGAGTTGATGCCACCGACTCCGGGATCTCCCTAGATTTAAAAAATATATTAACATTGATTATTAAAATATTTATACATTTACAGGAAATGGTTGAGAAAGTCTTATAAAGGATATTTTAAATAGAGTATACAAAAAGATTGTAAAAATTTTTAAATTATTTATTCAATCATAAAATAATATTTGGTGGCATTAAATTATTACCGGAAGTCCTGGAGCTCCGTCTCTTCCTGGTAATCCGTTAGCTCCTTGAAAGCCTGGGGGACCGGGCAAACCCGATCTACCCTATATATAATAAAACTTAATAATTAAATTTTGATCATACCGTTATTAAATGTGAGGAGTTTTTAGATAAAAATAAATTTATGTAAAAAAATGAAAACAAAATAAAATTGAAATCGATTACATCAGTTCCATTGCAACCATCAAGCCCCGGTGGACCTCTTGGACCTTCTAAACCAGGTAATCCCTATTTATAAATTTATTATAATTAAGAATACAATATAAATATTAACATATTTTATTTTTTAAAATAAAAGTTTGAGAGAAGTTTTGTCATTGTAAATAATATTTTAATTACCGGAATTCCTGGAACACCCGTGAAACCTGGCATCCCAGTTATACCCTGAAAATAATAATTTTAAAAAAATATATAGAAATATTAATATGTTTTAATTAATTTAAACTATGTATACTCTTAAAAAGAAGAAAAAGTAATGTTAGTAAAGAAATTTTTTTTAAACCTCATACACAGAATAAAATTATTTCCACAAAAAATAGAAAGAAAGATATACTATCCTATTTTAGAGATATTTCTACCCGACCCGGCCCGGCCAATTCTAATTATCCGTTTTAAAAGGCCCGCCTCTAAATTTCTAAATTATCAAGCATTTTTGAAAAGGACTGCTTATTTATTTTACTTCTACTGCGTATAATATAAATATGATTTTAAAACAGTATTAAACAAGTAGTATCCATCCGAATACGTCAAAAGCTAGAATATTTTTCGTAGATCATTTTTTTCTAAAACCATACCCGAAGTCCTTTTGGTCCAACTGCTCCGTGTTCTCCAGTATCGCCTTTCGGTCCATCAGGTCCAGGCGGACCTTCGGGACCCGGAAACCCGGGTAAACCAGACGACCCTTGTAAACCGGATAAACCCATTTCTCCCTAAACAATAAAATAAAATCATATAAGAGAGAAAATAAAATTTATATTTTTTTTTATTTAAAAGAAACCCCACTAAAATATGTACTAATTGTAGCGCCATTTTTTGCCAAATTTTATAAGCCTCTTTTTTTTTAAGAAGAAACCTTTCAAATGAGCAGTTGAGCATAAGTTTCAAAATTAGCGCTTTCTATCGATTTTTAAATCAAAAAGTTGGCCAAAAAAACTTTGCTAAAAACTTTATAAAATATTTTAAACGCAGCATATGAGAATTCCCTAAAACCCTATTATTGCTTAATCTTGGTATTTTGACTAGAGACAGGTATGCCATGGTAGCTAAAATTTATCATTTTAACAGTTCTCAAATTTGATTGGCTAAAAAAAATAAAATAGGATTTTAGGATAGAGTTATATCTTTTAATACATTTTCATTGCTTTATCAAAAGGTCAAAAGGGATAGAAAAATTATTTTATTTTTTTATAACAAAGCCAAATTCCAATTCGTTTTAACGGGTTCTTGGTCTGATCCTATTCTTTTGCAACTATCAGTTCCGGTTCCGATTAAAATGCTAGATTTTCTTTCCGAGCATCGAATTTTAACAAGAATTACTCAACGTTTAATTAAAATCTGCTTTTTATTTAATTATTCGATTAACGAAACGAAGATAGGATGCATTTCAAATAATCAAATTTTTTTAAAAAGGTTAAGAATCCTCAAAAGAATCCCACAAAGTTTAAAAAATTGATGTTTTTTTTAGCAAAATGAGAAGAAAAAAAAATCACCCCTCCCCCTTCCTCTTTTTCCCCTCCCATCTCTAAATACATTGATTCAAAAATGTAACTTCAAAAATAAAAAAATTGATAAATAAAAACGTATAAAAAAAGGGGTAAAAATTACCAATATAATAACAGAAATATGTTCACATTTGAAGGAAAAGTGTATTTTTTTTTATTTTTAATTTATAACAAAAAAAAAATTCTCCAATCCTAATTCAAAGTGAGTGCATTATTTTTTAAAGTATGGGGTCTAGACTAGGCATCGCGATTATAAAATTTTAAATTTGTGGTAATAGGAATATTCATATTTTCATCTTTTTTTTTTAAATTGAAGGCTCAAGCGTTGGAGGTGATTGATAAATGCGCATGGTCTCTGTATAATTAAAATACCAAGCTTGAAGAAGCTTTCAAAATCTCCCTAAACGTGGATAAAGTGATCCCAAAATGGGTTAACTAATCAAAGGTATGTTCAACTGAAGGAGATTTTTTTAAATTTGAAATAAGGGTAGAATTAAAGGTTAAAGATATTTTAAAAATGTTTTTTTTTTATTTAATTTTAATAGTTTTTTTTTTGTATTGATAACCTGTCAAATCTGACAGAACATGTGATTATAAATAGACGAATAGAAATTTCAAAAAATCCGCTGTTCCCAAAGGCAATGTCCTTGAGTTGGACCATTAATTAAAGTGATTTCAAATATGAGTTTAGGTTCAATATTTTAAACCAAAAAAATATATATATAAATTTAAATAAAATAAGATAAAGAGAAAATTATTTTACTTTCATTCCGATTTGTCCCTCGCACTTGCACCATTCTGAACCACTGCATCCTTCACATGCCTAATACAAGTGATAAATAAATAAAAAATAAGAAAGTGTTCGCGAATTCGCGTGAAATTAGGGTAACTCAATCACAAAACCTGAAATTCAATCTCTCCTCCTTCCTCATAATATGGGGATGGTTGGATAGGAATATTTTCCCGCCTGTAAGGACGATTTGATTGGGTTGGCTTTGGTGGTTAAATACAACTTCTGATTTATCTCGAAACAATTAAAAAATATTTTTTTAATTATAAGCCCGCCATAATCACCACGCAAAATAATATTCGAACAATCTCACGCTTGGGCTCGCTGCTTAACCCCGCGGACAATAAAAAAGCCAGCTGTTAGGGAATCCTCTAAAATTTGAACCCCTCAAGTTAATTATCTATTATAGCCTACGAAAGAGTAAAATCAGCTGTATGTGGGTATAGTCAATCGAAAGTCGATAGTCGATTTATACAATTCGTATAGGGCTCCTTAAAAAAATTTTTATTTGTTTTTAATGAAGTAATAGTATTGGGAGACAGAGTTTGTCGGAATACGGAATCTCTCAATCTTAAATAATTTACTAAGAACATTTCCAAGATCATACGTTTCTTTGAAGCAATTTTTCGAGGCATTTTTTCCAGTTAATTTTTTTTTCTTTATATCGTTTTAACGATTAAATGTTGACAAATTTATATAATGAAAAAAAAAATTGATTTAACCAAAAAGTATACTTTCGTTGGTAATACACAAAAAAAATTCGCTGGAAACATCTAGAAAACCTGCTCTGAAAAAAACGTTTAGTTTGGAAATTAGGTGGTGGGGGGGGGGGGGTAAATTTGAAATGTCTGATTCAGGAAATATCAAAAGACCTTCAAATGAGACCTTAAAAATCACCAATAAAATATATGAGGAGACACCAAAAAAGTTATCTTGGATACGTTTATGGTATAAGTAGATAAGTAAGTTTTTTTTAAAAAAAAAAGGTCTTCTATTTGTAGAAAACAAAATCATTACTTAGAGATGAGTCTACTGCCAGTAAATGAATACAAATTGACAGGACAGAATGGATAAGAAACTTTAAACTTTAAATATAAATGCTAAATCAAATAAAGGGTCAAATAAAGGAAAGGATGTAATTAGTATGAGATGACGATTCTAACACCAAGTAAAGTAATAAAAATGTAGAAATGGGTATATTTATTATAACCCTTCTGAAGTCTTTTGAGCCAGTAGCGTCACTAAGAAGGGGGCGAGGACTCGATCCCCCTTAAAAATTTGAAGAATCCCCATGAAAATTTTTAAAAAGTCATTTTCAAAAATATTAACTACCCCCTGAAATGAAAGACTCGATGTCACTGCTGGAGCTAACACAACTTTGCATGTTATTTTATAACCATTAAGAAACGCCTGAGGGCTCAATTTGAAATTCAATCGTATTTTATTAATTCTCAGGCTAACCTTATGCTTTTACTTATACTTTATTGTGCTTTAACTTTTAGCCACATTTATGTTCCCATCTTGGCCAAATTGTAAGCGTTCTATTTATTTTTCCATTTTTATGATATACCTTCTATTACTAGTGGATTGCACATAGAAGCTGACAATATTTCTCATAATGCTAGTAGCATTTATATTCCTAATAATATTATTTTTGCATTAACGAGCCCATAGATGCCAAATGGAATCATTATTTATTTATTCTAAATACATTGTAAAATAAAATTTCAACTAAAAATAGGGAATATCTTCTTTAGAAAAATAAAATACTGCGCTTATGGAAAGGTTCAATATGGCTTTTAACGATTCAAACCGAACCGAACCAGAACCGTAAACTGTTATTTTGTCTGAACCTAAAACCGAACCTTTATATATATATTAAAAGGCTCGAAACGGTTTTTAAAGATTCAAACTGAAATCGATACCTTTATTTTTATCGGAACGGATCCTGTTGGTAGGATCCCTGCAAAATCAATTTAAATGTTGTACTTGTAATTATAATTATAGTTTTTTATAAAAAACAATGATATAAAAACTAGAAAAATGATACAATATTTTTTTTTTAAATAAATAAATATCATGTTACAATACACAGCAGGGGCAGAGGCAAATCAATATCTTATTCCTAATCATATTAATTGATAGCACATATAATATTTCTTTCTTTTATTAATGAGATTTTAATCTTCTAGCTTATTTACAAATCGCATTAATTCGAAGGGGAAAAAAAAATCCCAGATAAAATAATGAAACCAAATTAAGAACAAAATATATGTCGTCCTACTGTATAGTCTAATTCCCGTTTATGGGCCTGCATAGGGATATTTTCACTCGGAGACCATTTGGATAAAATTCGTCTTCCATAATTCATAAAGAAAAAACGCCTTTAAGACTAAGCGACAAAAATGATTTATATGATTGTGACCTAAATTAGTGTTGTTAAAGGGCTCGATTTGAGCCAATTTTTAAAAACGGCTAACAAATAGCCAGGAAAATATTGCCTAAACGTCGAGATTTCGTCAAACCTAATATCAGAAATATTAAAAATAAAATAGCCTAAATCATTTTTTCGAATTTACCAAAACAAATTCTATAAAATAAAATTTAAAAAAAATTTAGCTTATAAAGTTTATAAAGTTATGAAATATTTACGAAAATAATTAATTTAAGTTATATTAATCAAATTGGAAAATATTTAAAAATTTATAAAATTTTAGTATTTTATCTTAGCGGGTGTATATGTTTCATAATTTTATCAATTTACGGAAAATTTATAAATAATGTGCCTAAAATTTGTATTAAAAAAATACGTCTGAACTTAATCGATCAGACCAAAGCTGTTTTTTATTTTTAAAAAATTAATACTTATCTTTTCATGAAGAATAAAATTCCTTAAGACATCATGATGATGACAACCCGTTTATTTAACTCCCCAGTGGCGTAACTGGTTTCTTTAAAACTGACCCCATTAAGGGAGCTTGAGTTCTCTATACCCTGATGACGCCATGGGCATCCCTTAAATAGTGTATAAATCATCAATTTTTTTAACATACATTGAATTGAATAATATTTGATTTCCATAAAAAAATATAGAAAATACATGCAGTAAATAACTAGCCACATCCCTGACATCCTCAAAATCTAACTTTTCAAGTGCTTTACTAATGTATGACTTATTGGAAAATCATTAAAATGGTATAAGAGCAAAAATTTTGTTATTTGTATTTCATAAGGAGGAAGGAACACATATATAAAAACGCAATATATTTTTTAATTTACTGGCAAAGAATGGGGGAAAGGACCATGTCAATTTATTTCCCGGCAACATTAACAACGTATAATAAATATAAAAAAAATTTTAAATAATTTTAAAAAAGTTTAATGGCATTTGTTTCAGTCTAATCATTTTATCATATAGAGATATACGAAAAGGTTATATAAGGTGACATTCACTTCTGGTTTCATTCCCTGATCACGCGGACGCTTAAACAATTCCTGTGTCTACATAATCGGAAGAAGGGGGGAGGAGGAGGGTAAATTTGCCTCCATATATTTTTGGGGGGTAGAAGGAGGTTTCCATGAGGATCTAGGAGAAGAATGTATTGAGAATATTTAAGTTCAAAAGAGGGGGATTTTAAATATCGATTGAACGATCTCTAAGCTAATACCAGGAATCTAAACCAAGTCTGAGCTATGAATCTGGTATTAAATCAAACCCGAATTGTTAAAAATTATTGTCCTCTTGAAACCTAACTTCTAAAAAGGTCTGTGAACTGTTGAACCTTTACAATAATCTAACTCTTAGATGGTTATTAGATACCATTTTCCAAATTCTTATCTACTCTATACAAAATTCTATCAGTTTATTTAACATATGATTTAATCCGTACATCGAATTGAGATTATTATTTTTTTATAAAACCAAACCTGAACTCTCTAAACCGTTATTTTCCATTCGAGCCAAAACCTGAACCGATATCGTTACATTTTAGGATCCCTGATAAATATCGGCAGCTGCATTGCATATGCGCACTCTCAAAAATTAGGATTTTCTTATTGTTTAATATTTTTTGCATAAATGTAAGTGAAAGTAAACGGTTCAGGGAAACAATTACAACAAAAAAAAGGAAAGTCGATAGCATCCGAAAGTTTAGAAACTCCTTTATTGGCCAAATCGGGTTCAAACCCAGACCGCCTAACCTTCAATGAGCTGTCTATCATTCCGAAGTATATCTATTCTCGGCCAAAAAGGTCGTAATCTTTAAAAATAAACAATAGTAAATAATTAGTTTTTTTGCCTCTCCCAAAAAACCAAAAACCAATTGCAAAATTATCAGATAACAGCAGCGCAGCTCTGCTAAATGATACTTAGTTTTTCAATACAATATTTTTTTTTACTTATCATTTATTTATGACTAATTCCAAAAAAAATATTGGAATTTATTTTTTTTTGAAAACAATGAACACACGTAGCAACATACAAATGATAAGATTATGATAGATAAATTTATCCTTTATATTATTTGTATAAAATATTTTTAAAAAACAAAAAAATTAAGTATCATTTTCGTTAAATCGTTTCGTTCGTTACCAAAATAAAAAAACCATATGGGATATTTTAAATAATGTTAAATGAAAAAATAATTAAAATATCCTCTAAAAAAAAAAATATTTTAAGAAATTTAATTTTTTCTTTTTACTTCCCTTACCTCCCCCTAGTTATTTTCTCAATAAATTTGTTCATCTTTTTTTTTAATGAGATTTACGAAAATAAAAATTTTAATTATTTTTTTTTGTAACAAAATAAAAAGGCCAAAATGGTCAAACATATGTTTTATATTACATAACAATTTGTTTTAAAATTTTAAAAAATTTCGTTATAGAAAGTGTTTGTTATTTTATTTTTTAAAATTATTATCTTAAAAAATGGTATTCATCATTTTTTTTAAAGGTTGTGAAAGTTTTAAAAAATATTTTTTTTTAAAGAAAATAGAATGTAAATAAGGGAGGTGCAGGAAATAGAGATCAACACCGTCTGACCCTAGTCGGTAGATTATGACCGGTCGATTATAACTTTTATAACCGTTTTGGCTTCGTGAAACTATCAGATCCAACCCTATCTCCATACTAGTCAAACGCCCCCCTTAGCCCGTGTGGATAATAGGTCAAAGATATTTTAACTGAAGGAGATTTTCTATTTGGATGAAATATATTTAATATTAAACAAGTATCTAATGTGAGGAGTAGGATTAAAGGTTAGAGAGATATGGATGGATTAAGATTAGGTTTGAGGAGAGATATAGGTTAAGGGTTAAAATATAGACAAGATTATGTGATTATAAATAGACGGATAGAAATTTAAATAAATGAGCTGTTGCAATTGTAATTTTTTCTTGAGTTGACCCATAGTCGTTTTGTTATCGGCTCAAATATTTCGTTCATAATAGAAAAATACTTTGAGGTCCTAGGTTAGTCAAAAACTTAGAAGTATTGCGTAGACCTTTACAATTCCATAGCCAGGCCAATGTTTGGTAGTTAATATAATTTTATTCATCCGAATTATAATATTTTTCAAATATGAAAGAAAGTAGTCGATGATTATTAATGAGTTGTGAAAAATGTTAAAGATTTTTTAAAAAAAATAATATTACAATTGATTAGATAAAAAGATAATAAAACAATTTTAAAAAAATTGAAAGGAGAGAAGAATAAAAAGAAACAATAAGATAATAGGAATGATTTTGGTTAGTACTAAATCGTGCTCATACTGATAAAATAATTTATGTCAGGAGATTTGGCACAAATAATCCCATGTTAATAATATTACTGGAGGTTTGGATTGAAGGGATTTTTTACTGGCCAAGGGCTGATAGTGAAGGAGTGGATACAATACAATATTCGTTATGATATGGTGGGGTGGGGTGTATATCTCATGATGTGAATCGAAAAAGGGTATGATTCATCTTAATATTTAATAAATAAATAAATAGTTTTCCTGGAGTGGCTATTTACCGAGGCCAATTGCATGTAACATGTGTAACTAATATATGACGTCGTAGAAAGTTTATTGTCCCCTGCACTTTTTAACTTATTTATTAATTATTTAAGGCATGCACAGCGGGTTTCTTATTTTTATTTTTGAAAGACGTAATGTTGCCGGAACCGTATTTCCAATGGCGTAGGCATGGGTGGAAGAGGGGTTAGGGGGTTAAATAAATTATAATTTACTAAATTGATAATATAAATGCTTAAAATTTAAAAAAACAACTATATGTATGTTTTTAATTTATAAATAATAATTTTGATCTACAGTATTCGATTATTTATATATATTTTTAAATAAATTTTAAATTATATTCCAAAAAAAACTTGTCTAGTTTGTCATATTCCTTTTTAAAAAGAAATCTACTTTGTCAATTTCATTATGAAGAAACAATCATTAATTTATTCATATTTAAAACAAATGTTAAGCACAGATATGCCACAAGTCTATTAAAGACTACCTTTTTATGTCGCTATTAAATATAAAATTAACAAAACTACAAGCATATCAAGTCTTATATTTTAAAAGAAGATAGGATTTTTTATAATGTTAATAATAGTAAAAATTTATTTTAATTTAATTTTTTTTTTCTAGAATCTTCGATTGTATTAAATGAGATTTGAATTATTTCTATATTTATTAAACAATGAAAAGAAAAAATGGCTTCTATGGAGTTCATAGAATCATAAGATTAAAATATATCTTGAATTGGGGAAAGAAAATCATTAATTGTATTCAGACCAAATTTATCTTTGATAATTTAATAATCGATATTTAAGATTCGGCATAATACTTGCCGTAACCTTTATTTATTGGATGACAAAAAAAATTATCACTAACTAATAAGTACTAATCTTACATTACATATTATTCCTTCTAGCATGATACCAATTAGCCGAAATGTTTTTCTTTAAACTATCTTCCAAACAGGTTGAAGCAGTAAGGAGGTATAAAATACGCACTAATTGACATAAATTTCCGAGATAATGCTTCCAGATGTTTGGCTAACTTTACGCTTTAAGACGTGATATAGACTTTTGGGTCATAATTCTGTTATTTTTTAATGGCTGGCGAAATTGATTAAAAAATTAATGAGACATTAAATATCAACTCAAACCAGATAGTAAGAACTTCTAAATTCTCCGTTCTGGTGGTATGATGCTAATTTTGACAAATTTTAATTTTTTTGCCAATAATTCTTTTCCTATTTAAACCAACTATCAACGAGAGAATAAAGCATTAAAAATATATTAATAAAGCAATACTCAATGATTTAGAATAATTAATTAGTGTTTCCAAAAGCTTGGCTCACTTGAAGCTTAGAGCGTGACATGATAGTTTTCATTTTGTTTTATAATTCAGTTTCTTTCGTGATTCTCATATTTAAGTGAGGAATTGAAATGAAAGTACTAGTCAGGCATTAAATATTAACACATGCTAAATATAGATCTTTATATTTTTCATTTTACCACGATATCTATTTTGGCAATTTTCTTTTCTATCTACCAAACGGAATTGATAAAATTTGCTGAATAAATGCTTCACATTTTAATCTTTAGGGTAGCAAAATTTTGTGACCAAAAAATTTTTCTCTTTATACTGGCTTTAAAGTCAGGCACTAATAAATCACAAAACATTGCCATATTTTAAAATTAGGGCATGTTTAGCCAACTTTAACGGAAATAATATAAAGAGCACCGAAAAATCAATAATATATTAATAATTTTATAGTTAGGGACCCGGCCGAAGGCTGGGCAAAACGGGGTTTGGAGGTTCAGCCTCCAAAAAAATTCTTAAAAAATCTACCCATTGGAAAATCCTGACTACGCCACTGCATATTTTTAACAAGGAGCACCTATCCTCTGAATTTCTGCTAATCAATAATTCACGGCAAAATTGTCTGAAATTTATATGGTTACTCTATGTTGGAATACTATTCTGGTAAACTAGGAGATCTTTCGATAATTTAATATATAATCTAAATTACCCTGATAAACCACCTAACTAAATAGTATTTTATATCTACAATCTAAGATTATATATTTCATAGAATAATAACCTACCAGATGATAACCTAATTCAAGAAATCTGATACTCAAGGAAATTTTTTAACTAGATATAAAATATATATAATATATAGTTTTATAAGTGAGTAGAATTAAATATTAGAAAAGATATGGGTTATTAGAGTTAATTAAAAGTTTAAGAGATATAGAGACTAAGGATTAGTCAAATCTGACAGGTCATGTGATAAAAAATAATTTTCCCGAGTTGGACCATAATCAACTTACCTACCTTCTATCTATCATGAGCAGGGTTGCCAGGTCAAAATTTTCAAATTGCGGGAGAAATTTGGTATTATGCGGGAGAAATATAAAAATTGCTAAAAAAAAAATTTTGCGGGCCGAGGATTTTGAATTGACTTAATTATTCGCCTATTATTTTTTATTTAGTTTATATAAATACAAAGTCGGTAACTATTTTTCAAAATAAAATAACATCTTGATTTATTAAAATATATTAATTTTAAAAAATAACCAACGATCTTTTTTATATATAAAAGAATGATAAAATTTTATATAAAAAAAACGATTTTAATTTTACAATTAAAAATATATTTTATGTGAATGTCCCCCGCAAAACGACCGCAATTGGAAATCTACCGTGTGTGTGTGTAACATTATAGGGATAGGCGCTTAATTATCACGTATCACGTTTAAATACATAATAAGGTACTTCAAAAATAAAAAATAATACAGATGAAACTACAGTTGCGGCAATTGCAATCACTTATCTTGTAGTACAACATTCACAGAGATAATTATGATCACAATGTTGGAAGATTTTTTTCCCCATATTATTTAACTATCTAATATAAATGAAAACTATACTTGTAGAAAAAAAATGAGCAAGGCTATCATCAATGTTTTAGGACCTAAATCCAGGAGGTCAATTCTTGATGATTTGAAAAATGGGCATACATATGCAATTCTAACAGATGCATCTAATAAAGGAAATATTATAATATTTCCTTTGATCCTCCGCTATTTCATCAAAATTAAGGTCGTTTCAATAAAACTATTAAATTTTTTCCCCTCGAATAGTGAAAAATCCAAAGACATAGCTAACCATATAATGGTAAATATAGCAGATTCGAGATTATCAATAAATTGCATGTCAGCTTTCTGATCTGATAATGCCTCAGTGAATTTGGTAAAAACAGAGTGTATTTACAGAATTGAGTCAGCACAATGTTGGTTGCGATATGTTCCTAATACCGGCTATCGATAGAATTTTAATATAAACCTTTAAAAAAATATTTCATAAAGATTATAAAAGCTGTCCTAATATTTTGAAAATTATAATGAATGGCAGAGGTATATTTAGGAATGATTTTACATGTAGTAAATCTACTACATTCTGTTAATGTGTAGTTGCAATCAGAAGAATCTTAACAAAGATTCACAAAATTATGCTGCAGATGTGTTCATCTTTACAGTTAAAAATTGACAATAAATTTTATGGCGCCATTGCTAAAACTTTATTATATTTTATTTGAGATTAAATAATAGAACTAAATGTTTACCGTCGTTATTGAGATATTTATAAAATTCCTGGCATGTCATATTATATATTTGTTTAACCATTAGCTCGGCCTCTAATGTTTTAAAGCAATCCGATTTCTCTCCTTTTTCCAGGCAGTCCTCATCAGGCTAAAAATGCGCTCGGATGAGGCATTAGAATGAGGTAAGGAGATGACATACTCGCATATTTTTTCCAAGCATGGGGATTAAGAAAAAATTCTACCCATCTCTCCTTTGCTTTTAGACCATCTAACTTTAAGTATTGTGAATCATAAAAAAAGAGAGAATTACAATCTCCTCAAACAAGAAATCAATGTCTTTTGGTATTTTTAATATATTTATTAAATGATAAAAACTATCAATTGATGGTTTCTGTTCCAAGATCATAATATTTATACATTTATAAATAGAGTTATTAAAATCAAATTTTGATTGTAAATATTCTAAAATTGTCTTAATAAAAATATCTGCTTCATTTAAAAATATATTAATTAGAGTATTATTTGAACATTTTAATATAATATTTTCAGCAATAGCGCCATAAAATTTATTATCAATTTTTAACTGTAGAGATGAACAGAGCTGTAGCATGATTTTGTGAATTTTTTTATAAAGAATATTCTGATTGCAACTGAACTGCATGAAGTAGATTTCCTACATGTGAAACGAATCCCAAATATGCTTCTGCCATTTCATACTCAAAAAATTTTTTCAATATTTTAGGACAGCTTTTAAAATCTTTATTTAAGAAGTTTTTTTTAAGAGTTTGTAAAATTTTAAAAACTCTTTTAATTCATTAACTTTTTTAGTTGATGACTAAATTCGTTAAAACATTTCATCACAATTATTTCGACATCCACAGATAGTACATTTATTGCCTTCTTGCAAGAATTATGTAGTATATGGCATATACAACCAATTGGTATTAATTCATTATTATGCTGCCTCAATTCGGTAACTTTGGTTTTTGCCAAAATTTACAGAGGCATTATCAGCGCAGAAAGCTGACACGCAAATCATTGATATTCCTGTAGCTATATTTACCATTATGTGGCTAGCTACATCGTTGGATTTTTCACAATCCGAGGAAAAAATTTTAACAGTTTTATGGAACTTATTGTTGAAATGGCGAAGGATCGAGGGAAATGTTTTATTATTTCCCTTATTAGATGCATTTGTTAGAATTGCATTTGGATGCCCATCTTTCAAATCGTCTAGAATTTACCTCTAGGATTCAGGTACTAAAACACTTGTGATAGCCTTGCTCATTTTTGTTCTGCCACAAGTAAGGTTTGCACTTACATTGGAGTTGTTAAATATCATGAGAAAAAGATATGACCCACATTGTGATGATATAACTCTGTGAATGTTGAACTACATTATAGATATATACGATTTCCGCAAATGTAGTTGCATCTGTATTATTTATTATTTGAGAATATTTTTGTATTACAATCGATGTTGAAATACTCCCCTGTACTGACTTATATGAATGAAATGATGTTGATTTATTATTGGATAAAAATAAAACAGGATAGAAAGAAATTAACAAACTAGACAGGTTTTTCGAATAAATATTTAAAATTATTTTAAAAATATAAAAAAAATCAATTAATGTCTCTCAAAATTATTATTATATTAAAAATGTTACTAAAAAAATAATTGCGGGAATTTCGCGACATCTAATTTAAAAGATTTTATTTTTAAATTATACTATAATCATCGCTTGCGCAATATAAATTTTTTTTAACATTTAAAATATCTATTTTTAATATATTACCATTTAATTATGGTTTTGTATATTTATGTGCTCCCCTATAAGAATGAAGAAGATTGTAATTGAAAATCATTATTATTTTCCATATTCAATGAAATTCGATTATAAGGCCCCGCCACGAACTTTGAATTAATAATTTTCTTATCAAATCCAGCAGTGCAATAGTTACCTATGCAGTCTATAATTAGAGATAATAGAGCATCATTTAGGTGGCGTTCGGCGAAGCGTGATATATATATATAGAAAAGGATAAAATTCAGTGCGTAGTAATATTAAAATATTGGAGTCAGTTTAATTTAAGCGTTATAAATATATTTATTTTTATTAATTTACGATAGGTTAATTGTAATTGTAATGATAGTTTAATCCACATTTGCATAATATACAATATTAAATATTTTATTCGCAGTTCTCGAATACAATTTTAATATCCTTACAAGATTGTAAGAAAGTAATACTAGTTTTCAAAATCCCACCTAAATTTTTTTTAAATATCTATAAAGTAAAGTATTAGTGACGTGGAAAATAAATTAAGCGTTGAAAACGGGAAAATTATTTTATAATAAATACAAAGCACTAACCCTTTCGGTTAATATAAAACCTAAATACAGGCCGGGTCCTTTTGAAACCGGAGTCAAAACGCCATGAAAACCTTTTTGAAAACCTGAATCATGTTGCCAAAAAGTCCGGGGGGGGGGGAGGGGAGGGCAAATTGTTAATTGACAAATAAAATGAAGAAAAAAATACATATTTGAACAATTGCAAGGCCTGTTGTATTCAAATAAAACAAATATTAATTTAAAAATTCATTTAAATTCATTTTTTAAAAAATATATATATACTTTTGAGTTGACGGAAGGAGATGAGACTAGTATGAATATGAATAAGCATATGAGGGAGGAATATATTGATTTTCGAGATAAAATATGCGATATTTTGTAACTCGAGTCGGAACAAAAACGTGAAAAAGATTTTACATCGTCACCGTCATCGTCCGTAAATAGGGGTCTGACGTGGCGGCGGGTGGATTCATTATTCGAGTCTAGTTTTAGTGCATTGATATTGGGGTAGGTCAGATTTTTAATCTTCCTTTTCTTATGTGAGACAAATAATGCAGCGTTACTCATGATAACTAACTAATTAGGGCGATTCAGAGTGGATTATGATTATATGTTCATTGAGGTGGATGATTGATACATTCAAGAATATTTATATTATATATATATTGTATTGTGTATGAATAGCGAGATAATGTAACGATATAATTGGCTAGAATTATGGCAGTGATAAGAAGTTTTTGGGAATTTGCCTAGTTCGAATTCAGTTAAATCTGTTAATATATTAAAAAGGTATAATTTTATTTGTAACATGTCAACCATAAATATAAATATCTTCTTAATAGATAACCCGTCATGGTTCGGTTCGATTTGTAAAATATATTTGGTACAAGTTCTACCGCCTGGCCCGAGCAGTTTTTGTATGACTCGGTCCACTGGTCGGATTTATGAGCTTCGGACCGGATATCGATAGTAGTATAAAAGAGAACTTTTTTTAGGTCTGATTTTGATTTAAAAAAATTATCAATTACGCGCGTGATTTACTCACGTATCTACTACCTATCCAAATTCGATTGGACCGAACTCAAAACTTGGGCCTTGACCGAGCCCGAACTTCAATTTTTAATTCGAGTCTGTTAATTATATGATTCAAAATCGTATATTATCCTCGAGCGTCTATAATATTTCTTCATCTTTTCTTTTGTCAAACTAAATGTCGGGAACTAAAGGTCACATTTTATAGTGCCTTCCGGAGACCTCTTACATACTCAAAGGCAATTTGTAAAAATAAAAATGGTGTATTTTTTTTTAAACTTTGTAATGTGAATGAATTTATGGAGCAGCTTGAAAAATATTTAGGGGGGGCAGGTCGGGCAAATAAATTCAAATAAAACTCAGCGAAAGAGCCTGCATAGGAATTGGAAATGAACATAGAAGAGTAACGCTTTCTCTCAATAGAGCATTAATTCGTAGACGAAAAGTTCAAAAACAAATTTTCTCGCGAAGGAGATGGCGCGTCCATAACAAGACTCTAGAAAGAAAAAAATGAGATGGAATCTTTAAATGTATTGCTAGATCAAGCGAGAAATTTGTTGAAGAAATGTTTCCAGCAGTCAGAGCTATTTAATGATCATTATAAATTCTAATGCAATATTTTTGAGGCAGTGATATAAACAAGAATTTTAATGATTCACAAAATAGAAGATTTAGCAAATGATTTTATCGTGAAAGATTACTTATAAAAGATGATTTTTTTTAAAAAAAAAAATTTAAAAAGAGAAGATCAAAATTCTTCGAAGATTTTATTTTTATTTTGAAGAGCATCTACAACCTCTTAAATTAAATCGGTGAATTTAAAAAGTTAGGTTATTTTTTTTACTTCGATTGGTTATTATGGAATTAGTGTTGTTTTAAACGAGCCCGATAAAGGTCGATTCTTAAAAAGGCCCAATTACGATTTTGGTCCATAGATTTAGCATATAAATGTCCAAACCTTTCTGCCATTCATGAGCAAAATCTCCAGGCTTAGATAATATTATGCTGGCTAAAATTTTAATCCAGTCCATTTTTAGCAAATCAATCCAAATCGGGGGCCATTTTAACGACACTATATGAAATCTATGGGGATTTCGTAAATCTCTCGATTTTAAATCATTTAACTGAGGGCAATTTTTACATTTGGAAAAGCCGGATAACGGAGATATGTTCTGCTCATAAGCAAGAGTAACTAAAATTTTATACAATTTCATACACTTTTGCGTTTATAAAAATCGATTATAAATTACGAGTAAGTTCTAAGGTCTGCACCAAAATTATTTCAAATTCATAATTGGGAGGGAAGGAGGTACTCTATGCGTGCTAAATTGCATTTCCGATGTAATCAGATTATTTAAATTTAAAAATGGCCATCTGTAAATGATTTAACATTGAGATTCAGAATTCTCGTGGATTCCATATCCTGATCTGATATAATATATATACTTGGCTAGTAGATTTGGAGATCATAGTATCGCCATTTTGTGGTTTGCACGTCAACTAAAATGTCTTATCGACCATTATATTATTGCATCTTGATGTTATTAAATGCAAACCACAAAGTGGCGCTACAGCTTAGTGTTGTTAAAAGCCCGACTTGGGCTGATTTTTCAAAACGGCCCGATTAAGATTATAACCAAAATAACATTATGTAAGCCTAAGGATTTTACTCACAACTGTCATAAACGCTTGGACATCTATTTGCCACATCTCGATGCTTACATTATAGTATTTTAGTTAAAATCTTAATCGGGCCGTTTTGAAAAATCGGCCCAAATCAGGCGTTTTAACAACACTACTACAGCTGACTCGCGTATTTACGCTTTTAAACGCGTGTATATACACATCATTGGCTCTAATATAAAATGATAGGAAAGGGGGGTCTCCCATTCCCTTTAACCGTTTATAATATAAGGATCGAACATTTCCCCGATTTGTTACTCAAAATTTATAAGTGTGTGTAATAAGTCAGAAAAATATTGTCTAAGCCCCAAGATTATGTTAATAGATGTTCAAACCTTTGAACCACCTATGAGCAAAATCTAAAGGCTTGCATGATATTTTTTCCGATAAAATATTGAGTTATAGACGTTTTTAAAAAAATTGGCTCAAAATGAGCAGTTTTAACAACGCTAGTGTGTAAATCATATTAATAAATAAATAATTTTTAATCAATTTTACCTTCAATAAAATGGTGTTGTATGTAACCAATAATACTTATTAAATTATATATTTCGAATGGACTTGTTTTTAATTAACGAGAATCAACTTTCGGAAAATGAAATAAATTAATCTAATAAATAAAAAAAAATTAATGAAATTTTATTAACAGACTTTTATTTTATTTTATTTTTTTTAGTGGATCTCTTCCATTCCTCTGCATTATTCTATTTTTCTATTATTTTTCTATTTGTTTTTCCTTTTCTTTTTTTATTAAAATGTATTTTATTAAGGAATAATAATAATTTCATTTATAAAATCTCAAAATTAAATCCCGTGTTTGTTGTTGTCTTGAAAGAGAATGGGATTATTACAGATTTTTTTTTGGCGTATTTTCACCTTTTTCATTTTTATAAATAACTTTAAAAAAAAAGGTCTAATCTAAATATAGAAGAAAGGAGGGGTTGAGGGGGGGGGGGGGTGTATAATGTAACTTGTCTAGAATATCTGAATATTGAATCGACCAAAAAAAATGTTCATATTATGAAAGACAAAACTTCATGGTTTTATCTAAATCTGACAGCTAAAATAGACTTCTACGCTCAAAATTTAGCGTAATTACTATATTTTTAATCATTTTTGACCTCGATTTTTTCTTAAAAAGACAGCAGCTCGTTTGGAAGAAACTTATTACATTAAAACGCCTTAATGTTAACGTATTTTTTAAGGTACGCACTTGAAGATTGGGCCGAATTAGCCAACATTAGCCATTACTCATTTATACTCCTTACATCTCTCTAAGATAATTGACGCTGACCCCCATCACTCAACGACTATTAAAATGGATATTGAGTATGTTAACTATAAAGGAAAATTTTAACTATATATATATAACTATATCGTATCAGAAGACCCTGTCTTTAAACTGTATATTTATTCTTTATTTTAGTCTCTAAACATGGCATCCTATTTAGACAGTTATTTTTTGAATACTTAAAATAAATTGCAAGATTCTTTAGTATATTATTTCCTTATTTTATTTGTTTTTTTGAAGAAAAAAAACATGTTATTTTTTCCGGAAAAAATTTTACATTTTCTTGGATAAGTGATTTATCGGATAAAATCAGCATATGTGTATTTGCGAATCTCGATAAAAAATAAATAAAATAATGGTGGAAAATCAATGTTTTTTTTATAAATAATAATCGTGATGGTGGTAATGATACTAAATAGAAGGAATTGGGGTGAAAAACAGCTGTTGCCAATAATATCCACTCCATTCCTATTCCTTATTTATTTTTTAAATATATTTTAACATGTAAATTTTTTGTTTGTTTTCCTCCCCTACCTTTTTTTTCTCCTTCCCCGGAAAACAAAATATATTAAAAATAAACTAAATTCTTCACAAATTCACGAAGGATTAATTATTTACTTTACTATTTAAAAAAAAAAATTTGGATAAAATAAATTAAAACAATAATCAATAAAAATCTTCAATAAAGAAATAACGATTTAATTTATAATATTTTAAAAAAATTTTTAACCTAAAGTTCGTTATATTTGGATTTAAAAATTATCATCAAGTCTTCCAAAAATTAGTTCCTATTCAAATACGAATAATGAATTATTGGTTATTAAGTGTTGTTTTTTTAAACGGTTCAGCTCAATTTCGCCTATTTTAAATTAAAAATCTTTGCTAAAATAATATGCAAACCTCGAAATTTTGTCAATACCATGTCCAAACCTTTCTACCACCTATGAGCCAAGTCCTAAGCTTGCTTAATTTATTTTTTTGGCTGAAATATTTGGTTAACCATTTAACAACTCGATTTTTTTTACTCCTTTTTTCGTTATCGTTTTTGAATAGGCCTACCAATGACATAATAATACCTAGACTTATGCATACATAATTAGTGCATTTGAAAGCGTCGTTGAATGCAAATCAGCAGGGCCCGCCATTTATTCTCATGTTAAAAACTACTATTATATTGATAACCTGCTTCCTTGTTATCTCGATGATCAGGCGATTCTTTAATAAGGTTTGCGACAGACATAGGAATAAATTGGCCACTCATTTTAAAATTTTTAATAATGATATGGGTAATCAAAATGGCCTCCCCAGCTGTTTTCATTGATGTGCACTTTTTTTAATGAATGCATTGTCAGTCCAGGCATTATTATATGTCATCGAGGCCTACCCGGAATGATGCCAAATAAAGGATATACTCATTTTTTTATACAAAAAATACTCCTGTTTATGGATAATCTAGCGGAAAAAATATATATTTATGAATACAGTGTTTATCGAGATTTGGTAGTCTTCATTTTTAAATTCCATCATAGTGTGTTTTTGTCTGAAGTCCATCTGACGTTTTGAGATAAACAATTATCAATATGAGTTTAGATAAAGAAAGCATGATCTGTGAGATAAGAGCTCAACTGAAGGATTTATGATTGGTTAAAATTATATTAAAATTTGAACGAGTATGGGTAGGACTGAAGGTAGGGGTAGTGAAATATGGGTTAGGGCTAATTATAGGTTTGAAAAGTGCATCTTTGTATATATATATAAATAACCTTTCAAATCTGACACGTCATATTATAGATCTACCAATAAAAACTTGAATAAATCAGATGTTGTAACGACAAATTCTTTTGAGTTGGAAACCCAGTCAATTTGCGAAAGTGGCAACGCATCAATTTCTACATAACCCTGCATTCGCAGCTAGCGCGAATTCTCGGCGAATTAATTAACAAAATATGATATTAAATATCATAATAATGCAGGGTTGTTCTTTTTAAATAGTTGTTAAAAATCTTCTAGATAAAATTTCATAATAGGTTCGATTTGGGGGATTTTCTTTTTGAAAACGTTTTATTATTGTAAAAAAGAAATCAATCCATGTTTTAAGCTTGTTGCACAATAATAATTGTGTGAAGAAGTGCATATTTTCGGTGTTTGAAATTTATAAAGTTTGATTTTGACGGAATTGTATTCCGCCATGTATATAATGATTATTTGCCCAACTTCAAGAGATTGTCATTACAGTAGCTGATTTATTTAAATTTCTATTAGTCTATTTCACGTGACATGTCAGATTTGAAAAGTTAGCTCTGTTGCTTGTCAATACTAGAGGGCCTTACCGCTGAAGTCGTCATGTATAAAGATAATTAATTAATTTTATTAAAACCCATTTTTTATATATTTTAAACCCAAACCCATCTCTAGAACCATCTTTAACCTTTAATTATACTCCTCTCCTTCCTTACCTCAAATACATGTTTAATTTGAATATATTTTCATCCAATTAAAAAATCTCCTCCTTGAGTTGGGTGGGCTATTATGTTGTATAGAATAGAATATACCCTATACCTATCAATTTCAGAAAATTTGGCGGGGAATTTTAACTCAATATTTTAGGTTAAATCTATCCCACCTCCCCCATATTAATAGTTTTTATTATTTAATCAATATTAACCTAACATCTATCGCCGTGGTGGCCCACTGGTGTGTGTTGTATGCTTGTAAACCGAAGGTCCCAGGTTCAATCCTGGTAAGGAGCTAAAAGTTTTCGGGTTTTTCTTCGATGATGGATGGCTTTCGACATATGATATTATAAATTTCTGAGCTGAGAAATCCCACCCCGGTCACCGACAGGCTTGGACAGCCGGGTGCTAGGGTACTTGTCCAATAAACCAAAAAAGACGGCCAGCTGAACTCGTGGGTAAGATGATAACGATTTCTTGGCCAGCGCTAGGATGATGAGATGATGGTGACCTCGGGGGCGTTCAAGCTCAATGTCTACCAAGTTACAATGGACTTGATAACGGTACCCCGGTGGGAGATCCATCGGGATTGATACCAGTGGGAGATCAGGATTGGGATATCTGTCGATTTTATATTCGATGTGAGGAATACTCAGGTGGGATATCTGGTCGATATTGATTTGATACACCGGTGGGAGATCAAGATACTTTGGCCTCAAAAATGATACACCGGTGATCGATACAAATGAAATCGATCAGAAATACAAATATATGCGAGATCAGGATTGGGACATCTGTCGATTTGATAACTCCGTGTTAGGAATACTCAGGTGGGATATCTGATCGATATTGATTAAGATACTTTAGCCTCTAAAATAATACACCGGTGATCGATACAAATTAAATCGATCAGAAATACAAATATAAATTAGATAAATAGATAGCATGTAATAATATAATAGATAGTGAAGGAGCTTACCACCAGAAAAGGTGAAGGCTAAAAAGGAAAAAAAAAATTAGCCTAACATATCACAGCCAAATTTTGGACAGCTCGGGGTATCCATTGTCCTTCAATACTTGGCTAATGTTAAATATCGCATGAAGCGATATTGAACCAATCAAAATGTTATACGATCGAGAAACGTTTATTTATATTCTAAGAGCGTCTTCGTGTAACTCAATTCGAAAGTTCTGAGTTCGAATCGAATCCTATAAGGATCATGTTTTTACTGAAGATAACTTGGTGGTTCCTTCCTTGAGGAGGGGGGGGGGGGGTTTATTATATATTAATAAATAGGTCTTATTACATTTTTTTAAATTGATCGTTGTTTACTAATTGCTATATGTTGACAATTATCTAACATTAGCCTAAATACATAGCATTGTCTATATTAGAAGATTTTACAGTAGTGCACCATCTCGTATAAAAATAAAGATGAGAGGATTTTATACGACCTCAGAATTTTTAACAATCTCGAATAAAACTTTTTTTTGTTATATTTAATTATTTAATCGAAAAAAAGATGGAAATATTTATCTTAATATTAATTTTTAATTTTGGAGAACTGCTCTCCTCTTTTGAACGAATTGAATAATTTACTATTCTTCGTTAATCAAATACGAATAGTTCATTACCCGTATCTGTTCTAAAAGGATTCGCGGGCTAATGATGAAGAATCAATTGCGATGAACTTAGTCAAATCATATACTGATTTTCTGATTTCTTTTTCATTCCTTTGACGACTAAGTTGCTCAGAATCTAATTTTTTCTTAGCATGGATTGATCTAAATCATGGCTATTTTACTATCTAAATTGTTAGTCACGGTTAAAAAAAAATAGTTCGTGTTTTTTTTTAAATTTAAAAGATTAAAGTGGTTTTAAGA